TAAAGAAGTCCTCTGTGGTATGGTGGCTTGTTTAGCTGCAGCATGGTCATCTAAATATCAATATTATGAAGGTGTCGTTTCAGTTTGAGAGAGAGAGAGGTACTAGTAATCTTATACCACTTGAAAACTAAAACGGTTGTTGTTGAAGCTTTCAACCTGCATTGAACATATTATGAAGCTTTTTTTGTATAGAATTTGGAAACTAAATTATTATTAAAAAAAAAAAAAAACTATATTTTGATGAAAATGCATTGGACCAATACTGAGGAAGGTCATAGTGTGACCAGAAGCTTAAAATGCGAGGTGTAGCTTAAACTTTGTGTGCAAAGTAAAAGGTTTAAAATAATGCTCATTAACAAGAAGAAGTGGTTTCAATGAAAGTGTTGATACTAATAATCTGCTGAAACTTTAAGTAAATTTAACTCTCAGATAAAACACTAAGGCTTCGGTCACATGCAATGTCTATTTTCTAATTTCTATTTTCTATTTGCGCTATCTTATGATCACGGTCTGTGCCCTAAATATCCCGCCGCGTAATTACTGGCAGCGCGAGCCAGTTACTTATAGTAACTTATAGTAACTGGCTCGCGCTGCCAGTAATTACGCCGCGGGATATTCAGGCCACAGACCGTGATCATAAGACATACCGCAAATAGAAAATAGAATTTAGAAAATGGACATTGCATGTGAACGAAGCCTAACAGCCAAGGCAGCAGTGCAGTACTGGTACTTAGCCAATCGACTTCATAAGCCATAGGGACAAGTTCTTATAGCCACACTTGGCAGTTCCGACAATAGCCTGCATTGATTTCATATGCCAAGTATACAGAGGTGCTGGATATGATTAATTGTTTGTCAATTGACTTTTCGTCCACCGGCAGTGCCCCGATTATTCTGTGGAGCGGGATTGATTTGTTGGGACTTGACTGGTGTTTTCAGGGTTGTTCTCGTGTCGCCAGCTGGACGATAATACAAATGGTGGGTCATGAGTAATTTAAAAGACCCACAACTTTCCTGAAATATTGTTCTTCTCTGTAAATTTAAATTTCAAGTAAATTTATGATTGAAAAGAAGTAGCTTGGGCATATTTCATACTCTTATTGCCTTCTATACACAGTAGTGTTCCACTATTTAGAATAGGTAATAAAGTTCAGATCTTATTCTCCATGCTGTATTATTATTATTATTCTGCCTATGATAACAAAGCCATGGTTCACTCAGTGCATTAGGTGCTGGCTAAAAAAGCAACTCCCTATATGCACACATAACAAACAAACAAGCACTATGCAGTGTTCTTGTCCTGTCTCCCTAACTCCCTTAGAACTAGAGTTAGACTCAGATATGAACTTTTAATCTTAAAGTTAATAAATTTATTGAGGAATATTTTCAAAAGTACTAAAAAACAGGAAAAACTTGAAATCATGGATTTTCATGTGTTTTGTTTATTTTGATTGTTTTATATTATGCTAATAATTCTTGTTTTCAACGTTATCATAATGTTATAATATTGTTACTGTGTACCTACTCTAGATCTCTTCCTCACACCTGTATAAAACGGATGATTCACATGATCAATGACAGTCATGTGGTTGGAGTACATGTATATTATGTACCTTGTTTGATATGACTAGATGTAAAATTCCAATTTGTGAAAATAGATGGCACATCGTCACATTTTTCTCACACAGAACTCCACTGGTGTCTGATCTTTTANTTAAGGGGATTCCTTTTTTATTTATATTCAGTTCAATTCAATTTATTTCTGTATTGGTACATAGATTGTCATGACCTTGTACAATATGATATATTAATGATGATGCAATACAATATAACGTTTCTAAATATATCCTTCAAAGCTAATTATATTTCTTAAAATCAGACCTTTAAAACAGTAGAACCCCTCAAATAAAGTGCCTGATGTCAATATTTCCTTCTGAAATGTCATGAACACATGGCAGTCTAAATGAAGGATGCCTTCAGTGCAGGTGGTATGCAATTCTTATTCAGATGAGCTTCTTGTGGTGAGCTAGTCATAATCCAGCAGCCTACTAAATTAAGCCGTACCAAGCTTATGTCACCCCAACTTAATTGGAAACACGCCTGTGAATTAATGAACCTGTAGGTGTGCACTGTAGTTTATATACTGTGGTCTAATCTTTTCTTAATGTGTCTAAAACTGTCGGAGTATGAACAAACAAACGTAGTTAATCAGGCAGACCCCTGTCTGAGATTTTCTCCTGGAGATAATGAGGCTGTTCAGGGAAAAGCCACAAAGAGGGGATATATGAAATATCCAGATGATTTAATAGAGCACCTGCTGAACACTTGACAGCTGTGCAGGTATGTAAGTCCCAGTTTATACCCTCTTTTTCTAGGAGATTTGAAATGCCAGGAAGATGATCTAATCTAGGCATATGTTTAAGCATTCAATAAAATTTCTATGATTCTTTTTTTTTTTTTTTTCCAGGGAATGGGGTGGGGGTATCCAAACATTATATTATCTCCTGAGACCTGGCAGTTATGGTAAAAAAGAAAAGACATCTTGCATGTGTTTGAGTATTAAAAATGCACATAGATATCCTTTAAATTTAAAAAAAGAAAAGATGAATTAATGTGAAAGTTTTGCACCCAACCGTAAAACCAGGGTGTCCTGTGATATAAGATAAAATCGAAACATAGGAAGTGGTGATACCCTAATCCCCTAATCATTTTAAATCTGCCTCTTCCATCTTTAATGATTTATCGTTTATATCCCAGGGGGAGGGGGAAACTAAACATGCAGAATGAGATAGTAGCAAAAGCTATCTCTTAATATTTTCCTGTCAAGGTTTTCTTTTCTTTTTTTAACAAGAACAGATCAACTTTCTCTGACTTCACATTAATTAAGATTAAAAGGAAAGATGAGGAAGCATTCAACTTCCAGTGATAGTATCAGGATGAAGGTGATAAAGACACCTCTAATTACCTATGCTATGGCCTGGGGCTGTCTGACATGATGAAGGGTGATATCCACTGTTGTGGTGTAATATGGTGTTTGCTAGGTGCATATTAAGCCTTAGCTGGCAAGTGCTAGAGTGTATATCACACATGCACACGCATGCACACGCACACACACACACACACACACACACACACAGTGCTGTGGCATATGAATGCAGAAATTGTTGCAGTCAGGACATTATCACTTACATGTACTTAAACAAGAATCCATTTTCAACTGTTGGAAACTTAGGGAAATGGCCCACCCCCTAAATGCAAGTTGGAATAAATCTTTTGTAAAAGGTGCAATCAGTATAATAGAAGCCAGATCTCTTTCCCTCCCCCCCCCCTCATTCGTCAAACAGTCAACCCCCTAGGTACTGGTAGGCAGCCATATTGGCATCGGTCACTATTCAGTATTGGCAGGTGTCATTTAAGTGGCTATTGGTCAGGGGGTTAATCCCCACTTCACATTCTTATCCACTGAGACATTTATTGAATTTATTGAGTAACACTTAATAGTGCATATCAGAAATCCAATTTAAAGAAGTGGTCTGTCAGTGTGGTATGGTGGCTTGTTTTGCTGCAGCTTGGTCATTTAAATATCAATATTATTAATGTGTCTTTTCAGTTTGAGAGAAAGAGGTACTAAACTTATACCACTTGAAAAGTAAAACGGTTGCTTTGAGCATGTCATGAAGCTTTTCTGTATAGAATAAGGAAACTAAATTATTAAAAAAAAAACTATTTTGATGAAAATGCATGGTAACTCATACTGAGAAAGGTTACAGTGTGACCCAGACGCTTAAAATGTGAGATGTAGCTTAAATTTTGTATACAAGATAAAAAGTTTAAAATAATGGTCATTAACAAGAAGAACTGGTTTCAATGAAAGTGTTGATACTAATAATCTGCTGAAACTTTAAGTAAATTTAACTCTCAGATAAAACACTTTAACAGCCAAGGCAGCAGTGCAGTACTGGTACTTAACCAATCGACTTCATAAGCCATGGGGACAAGTTCTTATAGCCACACTTGGCAGTTCTGACAATAGCCTGCATTGATTTCATATGCCAAGTATACAGAGGCGCTGGATATGATTAATTGTTTGTCAATTGACTTTTCGTCCACCGGCAGTGCCCCGATTATTCTGTGGAGCGGGATTGATTTGTTGGGATGTGACTGGTGTTTTCAGGGTTGTTCTCGTGTCGTCAGCTGGACGATTATAGAAATGGTGGGTCGTGGGTGCTTAAAGAGACCCCCACTTTCCTGGAATATCTTTCTCCTCTGTGCATTTCAATTTCATGTAACTTTATGATCGAAAAGAAATATCTTGGACATATTTCATACTCTTATTGCCTTCTATACACAGTAGTGTTCCACTATTAAATATAGGTAATAAAGTTCAGATCTTATTCTCCATGCTGTATTATTATTATTATTCTGCCTATGATAACAAAGCCATGGTTCACTCAGTGCATTAGGTGCTGGCTAAAAAAGCAACTCCCTATATGCACACATAACAAACAAACAAGCACTATGCAGTGTTCTTGTCCTGTCTCCCTAACTCCCTTGGAACTCAAGTTAGACCCAGATATGAACTTTTTTATCTTAAAGTTAAATTATTGAGGAATATTAAGTATTAAAAAACAGGAAAACATGAATTTTCATAAGTTTTGTTTATTTTGTGTGTATTTACATTATGCAAATACTAGTAATTCTTTTTTCAACCTTATAGTGTAATGATATTGTTCCTGTGTGGCATTTTACTCGTATACCTACTCTAGATCTCTTCCTCACACCTGTATAAAACGGATGATTCACATGATCAATGACAGTCATGTGGTTGGAGTACATGTATATTATGTACCTTGTTTGATATGACTAGATGTAAAATTCCAATTTGTGAAAATAGATGGCACATCGTCACATTTTTCTCACTCAGAACTCCACTGGTGTCTGATCTTTATATAACTGACGTCTGCACGGCATTACGTGATTAATAATAATTTGCTCAGTAGATGAGCATCCCTGTGACAGATCTGAAAGGTCAGTATCTTAAGCCACAAGATTTTTCAGTCAGGAATACAAAACTAAGGGGGTCAGGTCACAGACAACAGCTGCTAGAGTATAAAAACGTGGTTCATGTTTTCATATAACTGTCATCGCTGTGTTTCCCGTCCATTTGTCCTCGTCATTTGTGGCATTATTCTTTTGCATACTATGACTGGAGCAACATGGTTTGTCATGTCTGCAGACAGCAGTCGTGTTCATACAAGGACCAGCTTTAAAGACTTGAATTTGGTTTAGGTTCATTTCACATAGTGCAGTACACTTTTTCTGTTTTGCACCATTTTGAGAGATTGACAACTTCTTAGCCTGGCTAGTACATAGCGAGGCATTAACACATGCGTGCATTCACACACACACACACACACACACACACACACACACCAGTTTAGCTGAAACAAATGTATCCCTTATGTAAATCCAAACTAGCAAAACTTTTGTTTCGTGCGAACCTCAATATCTTACCTGTAAGACACATGATGTTGTTAGAACTGAATGACATGCTTCCTGATTCGAACAGAAGACTGTTGAAATAAATGAAACTAATTACATCCTGAACAAAGCCATTAGTGATAAAACACTCATATCTGGATGGTTATTGTTGTGACATTTACATGGAAGGAAATACATCATTGTTGTTGTAATATATTTTGTTGCACTCGTTATTGGTGTATACTCCTTGTTGGTGGGTTAACAACTAAATTGTATTATATTAAGGCCTTGATCATTCGATGTAGATCGAATTCCCTTGACCTGTGAGTTGAACCAAGTAAGATGTTATACAGTTACTGCCATGCTGAATAAATGATAACAATCTGTTGTCAAATAAGACCATAATCAAAGTTTGTTTATTTTTCCAGCCCAATGACTACTACGTGAGGATTGACACATTAAAGAATTACAATGATGGCGGAATTCTTGATCCTGATGACCAACTTTGCGATGTGGCAGATGATCGAGAACAGGTATGCATTTCAGTCAGTATGGGTCACATTTCAATCTGGTTAAACTTGAGGAAGACTAGTCTCTGTTGTCATGGGGATTCTTTTAGGTTTTCTGTAGTATTTTAAAATCTGGATTTATTAATTAGTTTACAGTGGAATTTAGGATTGAAAGATGATGTGAACTTTAGACCCAGAATTTGTTCTAAAAACTTAAAAACATGTGCATTAAAACACTACTCACTAAAACATTGCAACTATGGGTCCAAAACAGTAACCCTTTTTCCTTATATTTTTTCCTAATAATTTTATTTACTTGCACTAACAACATTATAATTGTGGACCAAAGTTTGATTCAAGAGAAAGAACCCTCTTTAAGTTAATGATCATGACTGTCATTTTGTGTAACGGGACCAGGGTTTATATCTTTCTTGGTTTAACTTGAATTTGGTTAGAACTTAGCTTGAGCAGAGTGTAGGTAACCTATTTATTGTTCAGCATGCTGGTGCAGGGTATTGTTTATTGTTATTGTTCACCCTACAGGTAATATGAGTGCAGCGAGGAAATAAACTCTGCAATTTAAGCCCGTAGCTACATGATCGAAAAATTTTGTTTACTTTGTATCATATGCTGGTTGTTAATTGTTAGTGTCGAAAATAAGTGGTGGGTTGAGTATATAATGGTGGAATCCCACTTTTTAAGAGTGCCGCTGTCGAGTTTACTGAAACAGTGGTCTGTGGTCAGTGGAGATATCTATCGCAATGTCAATAAATTGACCCGCACACGTGAATGAACTGCAATATTTACAGGACCTCTAATTAATAGCTTGCCAATAAATGGGCTTCGATTGTGCCACATAGTTTGCATAGTTCCTTTGTTGATGCGGTTTATTTCTGCTAATTTATTGCATTGTTAACAGAGACGTTATCCGTGTGGGGGCATTGATTGAGAGGAAATAGGGAGCAGCTATTATTTGAGGGTTTATCCACAGAAAGCTGCACTTGAATAGGCCTGCTTAGAGAAATCAACATTTATCATTTTTATTGGAAAAGACCCTAAATCTTGATAAATCATTCAGATGAAAATAATTTTATATAAGATTTCATTATCAAGAATAATGATTGCATACTAGTAATTTATCTTTTCTTTTTGATAAAAACCTCAGCAGGAGAGATGTTATACTGAAAATAGAAAGTTAATCCAGGTCTTTTGGTGATGTTTTTAATGCACTACGACATTACCTGGACAAGTACAGAAAAAGATAAAGGAAAATAACGTGGAAAGATTTTATAAAAAGCAATGACAACACTGAAAAGTAACACAGAAACGAACAACAGCAGGAAAACTATCAACACACTATATATTTTTTTAAAAACTTGATGAGATTTTTAAGAGCACCTTGTCAATGAAAAATGACTTTTAGTCATGCAAGCATTGCGTAGCATTGCATTTCAATTGCTGGTGTTTGCTGTACGCCTCTCATGATTTACATAGTGTACTATGACAATTAGCCCAATTACAAGTCCAGCAACAGAGTAAATGTTGAACTGGTGTGTCACGTAGAAAACAAAAGAGCAGACAATTGATAAGACTTTTATATTTAAGCCAAGTTTGGATTTATGCAAGATTACAAATGAGCAGGTTTGTATTCGTGTCTGTTATTTAAGATATTGATTTCCTAGAAATCATCTGGTTGTTTTTATAGGTGTCACAGAAATTGATAATAAATCCACCTTTGATGGGCAGGTTTTTAGTGTAACAGCTTTATATGATAATCTTTAAATCACGAAAATGATTTACGTCTAGTTGCTCAGTTTTTGAAGTGTGGTTTAATAAGTGACAAGTAAGAAGTGAAGGTGTACGCTTTTACAGGTATGTTAAGGGTTCTACATTAATGGTTACGTAATTGTTTACTAGTTGATTTATTGGTGTTATATATTATCAGTGAACAGAATTTGCTTATCAGTTTTTATGCCTTTACTTAGAAAAAACTTTTAAAAAAAAGAAAAAAAAAAACAGATTGAAAGCTTACATTTACCATCCAATCAAAGTCTTTTATGCCAACCAATATTTTTTTGTTCAGTTTGGAATTTTATTCAATATATATATATATTTTTTTTTTCAATTTTTCTTCAGAGATCCTTTTTCATTAAGATTTTTTTCCTTACCAAGTTTAAAATAGTGGATGTAAAACTTGAAATTAATTGATCTTTAAAATTTCTTCATGTTCATACCAAATCACTTTAATTTACTTTGTGTGCAACATTTAATATGGCTGACAGGATTTTTTTCCAAACTACTGTTACGATTTGTACTTGAAAAACAATAACCTATGTTGAGGTCATTTAAGTACTTTATTTTGTTTCCTTAAACAACACTTTTTCACGTCAAAATCATGGCTAAATGATTCTATCATATTGGTAATATTCTCAGCCAAAGCAACATTTTTCTTAGACAAATTTGTTTCAACATTTTGATAAAATATCTTGATGTTAGCTTAAGCCTGGTAACGATTATCTAGATTATTTTGCTGATAAGCATGTTTTATGTTAGAAGGTACAATAATTATTCTCATATTTCTAATTTTATTTCCAGATCATTGCTATGTACGAAGAACAGAGTGCTCCCTCTGTACCTCACAATGGCGGTGACGGCACCAGTGCCAGCTCCGTGGGCACCGCAAGTCCAGATATCTTCCAGGCAGGGGATGGGCACCCCCACCCCCAGGGACACCACCCCCACCATCCCCCTGGGCATCATAATGATAAGACATATGATCATATACTAAGAAGACACAGTGGGAGAAATGATGTTGTTATAACTTCTAATGATTTGACTACAGGTGGGTGGAACTTTTCATGTCTTTATGCTTACTAGGACTGCTTGCATAAAGCCATGGTTAGGTAATTTTATATACAAAAATGCAATGATGCATTGAATGGTTGATCTAAGGATTCTCTAAGCATAATTGACATATCTGTCACTGAAGTATTATGTAGCTTATTAGTAGGTAAATCAGTCTCCACAAACTTAACAAACTTAAACAAAATGTAGTTTACAAACATCCAGTGTTAAGAAAATCTTTGATATAATGCAGTCATGTCTCTGCTTCAGTGAGCTATGTATGCAAGTAGAAAAAAATTCTGAGGTTTATACCAATGTGAGCGCAGCTTGTTACATAAATTTGAGATTTTGATTACATTTTGTATTAAAAGGACAGTTTATTTTGACACATTTGTACCAGACCTGCCATGACTGCATTTTTTTTTTTTTTTTTTTTTTTTTTTTTACAAATAAACAGATTCATTGTTTAAATCTTTGACCAAAGATATTCAGTCAAGATTTTTTTCTTTTCTTTTACAGCAACTGGTTTAACAGTTCTTCAAGTAAGACGAAGCAGTGACCCAAATCTCACAAATATCGGGAATGAAATAACACAAAATGAAAAGACTAAAGAACCTATTCCACCTATGGCAAACAAGAGATGGTCAGCTGTTGTTACCATGGATACAAATCACCCACCAAGGGGAGGCTCACTTGACAGCACGGGGTCCCCCATACAGCAGAAAAAGCTGTCTGCCAATCACAGAGGGTCTCCACTTTTGAATCACAGGGGGTCCCCTCAGTTTAACCACCGAGGATCTCCGCGTAATCAAAGGCGATCTGACCACCAGAGGCAGTCTTCCAAACAGGTAAGAAGAACAGAAGCGGGAAGGCATGTTTGCTTTATTTAAAGCAATATGTTCACCATTTTTTACCCTTAACTTTTTAAAAAATTTTTCTTATTAACGTTAAAACTAAGGTTAACTTGCACCATATGTTTAAGCACTTTAAAGCAGTTTTTTGGACATGCATCTTTGGAGATATATTCTATTCACCACCTTCTTGTTAATGCTTGACTGTTGTATTTCAATGCTTGGTTGCTTTTAATAAGTTTGGTTCATAAAAACTTAATTACCTTATTCATATTGTTGTGTTTAAATAGTTTGTTTCCATCGTGTTATTATATTTGATTAACTCTTCCTCTTGTTACCTTATTACTAAGGCTTGAGCTGCTTGAGTTTTCAAAAGAGGTTATTGGCATCAGTAATTTTTATTGTATCAANGGCACCAGTGCCAGCTCCGTGGGCACCGCAAGTCCAGATATCTTCCAGGCAGGGGATGGGCACCCCCACCCCCAGGGACACCACCCCCACCATCCCCCTGGGCATCATAATGATAAGACATATGATCATATACTAAGAAGACACAGTGGGAGAAATGATGTTGTTATAACTTCTAATGATTTGACTACAGGTGGGTGGAACTTTTCATGTCTTTATGCTTACTAGGACTGCTTGCATAAAGCCATGGTTAGGTAATTTTATATACAAAAATGCAATGATGCATTGAATGGTTGATCTAAGGATTCTCTAAGCATAATTGACATATCTGTCACTGAAGTATTATGTAGCTTATTAGTAGGTAAATCAGTCTCCACAAACTTAACAAACTTAAACAAAATGTAGTTTACAAACATCCAGTGTTAAGAAAATCTTTGATATAATGCAGTCATGTCTCTGCTTCAGTGAGCTATGTATGCAAGTAGAAAAAAATTCTGAGGTTTATACCAATGTGAGCGCAGCTTGTTACATAAATTTGAGATTTTGATTACATTTTGTATTAAAAGGACAGTTTATTTTGACACATTTGTACCAGACCTGCCATGACTGCATTGTTTTGTTTTTTTTTTTTGTACAAATAAACAGATTCATTGTTTAAATCTTTGACCAAAGATATTCAGTCAAGATTTTTTTCTTTTCTTTTACAGCAACTGGTTTAACAGTTCTTCAAGTAAGACGAAGCAGTGACCCAAATCTCACAAATATCGGGAATGAAATAACACAAAATGAAAAGACTAAAGAACCTATTCCACCTATGGCAAACAAGAGATGGTCAGCTGTTGTTACCATGGATACAAATCACCCACCAAGGGGAGGCTCACTTGACAGCACGGGGTCCCCCATACAGCAGAAAAAGCTGTCTGCCAATCACAGAGGGTCTCCACTTTTGAATCACAGGGGGTCCCCTCAGTTTAACCACCGAGGATCTCCGCGTAATCAAAGGCGATCTGACCACCAGAGGCAGTCTTCCAAACAGGTAAGAAGAACAGAAGCGGGAAGGCATGTTTGCTTTATTTAAAGCAATATGTTCACCATTTTTTACCCTTAACTTTTTAAAAAATTTTTCTTATTAACGTTAAAACTAAGGTTAACTTGCACCATATGTTTAAGCACTTTAAAGCAGTTTTTTGAACATGCATCTTTGGAGATATATTCTATTCACCACCTTCTTGTTAATGCTTGACTGTTGTATTTCAATGCTTGGTTGCTTTTAATAAGTTTGGTTCATAAAAACTTAATTACCTTATTCATATTGTTGTGTTTAAATAGTTTGTTTCCATCGTGTTATTATATTTGATTAACTCTTCCTCTTGTTACCTTATTACTAAAGCTTGAGCTGCTCGAGTTTTCAAAAGAGGTTATTGGCATCAGTAATTTTTATTGTATCAATTTTTCAGTCATAACTTTAGTTGCTTCATTCAAGTGAAATCATGCTGATCAGTATCATTCTTGGAGAACTAAATGCAAATTAGGTGTTATATTTAGATAATGACCCCTCTCCTCAAAAAAGAAGAAGAAAATGACGCCCCCCCCTCAAAAAAAAAAAAGAAAGAAAGAAAGAAAGAAAAAAAGAAAAGAAAAAAGAAATTATGAAAAAAAAAGATATTTAAGAGATTTGGTCCAAAACACAAAGTAACAGGTTTTATTATTATCATAGTTGCAATGAAAATATCAATACTCAATAGTCCATATGTTTACCATTTTATAAAGAGTGATACTGCATGATTTTCACACCATTTTACCTTGATTTCTCGCAAGGATGGTTATGAAGTGGATAGATTTTCATATGCAGTGTCTTTTTTTATGTTCAAAATATTTTCCATTAATCTTATATAGATTTTTTTTTTACAAGAAGATAACATTAAGAAGTTGTATGTCCAGATGTGGAATTTTACACAAGCATGTTGAGAGATAACCTCAGCTTAGTGAAGTCGATGAATGCAAGAAATAAGAAACACTGCATGTTTAGGAAATGCCCAAACCATCCCTGCAAATTATTAATTCATTTATTTACCGCATGTAGAGTGAAGCTGTAGCTTAGCTAGTCTCTTCTGCCTTTCTCTAACCCAGGAGGCAGATCGCTCTGATGACGAAAATCTTCCCAAACGTATCGGAGGTAACGGGCAGGAAAAAAGTGCATTTACACGCTTTGCTCGCGACTCTGGAAGACAGTCACTCGGTGGGGGACACCCTGCCATCTTTAAATGGATGGAGGCGCAAGAAAAAACAGAAGAGCAATACCAGAAAAAGGTGTGTTAAAAAAAAAAATAGACACCATTAACAGTTACTCAGTCGGAGGAAAAATGAAGTTGAACATGGTATTTCTCATAAACTGGATCCATTTTCCAGTTTTGACCTTGTAGTAGTGCATGATTTCCTGTTACTCATTTTTGATTTTGTGTGTATTATTATAAAGAAATTCCTGTATTTTTGTTAAGCTTTATAAGAACTGTATGTTATATTTATGTTTTTAGACATGTTCTGAAGTGTTCTTATCTAACATTAATGTAGTATTATTAACACACCTTTGTTCATGAATGAAAAAAAAGTTTATTTCCTACCTTATAGTATTCCAACCTGAGAAATAAGTGATTCTGTAGGTGTGTGTGTTTGTGTGTGTTTGTGAAAAAGGACACAGAAATATCTTGTTCTTGCATTCAGGCCCCAGATGGCAGGAAAGAACCGCTAGGTGGCAGTGGAGTGGGTCATCAAGATGAGCCAAAGTCAATGTCCAGGGGAATAGATGTGGGCCAAGATGATGACCACTCAGATGGACATTCAGACAGCAGTAACCCCCATGATACTAGTGGTGACACAGACAATGGGTGGGTATCAAGAAATTAGATTCTTAGATGTCGGGAAGTTTTTAAGGTCAGATAAAAAATCAATGACAACATTACCTTTGGACTTCAATAGCTTGTCACTTAGCTAGTCATAATATAGGGGATGTTTGCATTAAATATATCAACAAACAAAAGGACAAGTTAAAAATATATTGAGGTTGCAGAATATAGTATATTGTTGGAAAATAATGATCTGCTTTCAATCATAGTGTACTTAAAGATTGCCAGGAAAAAATTAATGGACTTTCAACAAACTATGTGCCTCTTGTAGGGAGATTTTGTACATGATTAATTCCACTTAACTGAGCACACAAGTCTTAAAGTGAAGGTAACTTGAAGGCTGTTTATGTGAAAAAAAATTCCAGCAAGCAACCCCCGCCATCTGCAGATTCAAAGAAAAGCAACAACGAGTTGAAGAGTATAGAGGTTGTTAGATTGACAGCTGCCATAAATGGGCAAGATCAACATCGGAAGTTGCATAGACTGACACCACAACAACAACAGCATCAGTATGACACACAGCCTCACCAAAAATTATGTAGTTTGGTTGGAAAGAAATTTGGGAACCCAGTGTAAGGCTGTTCTCTGGACTTTGGAGTGTGCTGTGTCTGCAAATTGTTTTATTTTATGATTCTGTTTGAAGGTTGAGTTTGCGTTTCTTTGGCAAAGTTAGGTGGCATTGTGTACATTATTCTCATATCTGATCTTTTGATGACTGCAGAGTTGTTGCCCAGTCCAAATGATTTGTTTTGTTAGAAGTTGTCTGAAGCTGGCAAAATCTTTTTGGTGTACATATCATTGTTTCGCTGAAAGACAAAAACAAAAGAATCTGGCGATGACATTGGTTTGATCATTGGTTTATTGAGTGTTTTAAACTGTTGTTACCATTTTCCCCTCAGATATTTTTTTTCTGTTGAAACGATATAAGGATTATGTTTGGGATATTTTTTTCTTTTTACGCAGACTTTCTTACTTGAAGGTATGCCAGTGTGGTATATTGATTTCAGCATCTTGAAAATATACATAATAATTGTATTTGTTATAGTACTGATTTTTTCCAGTGAATAAATATGGGAACAATAAAATTTAAAAGTAAGAAAAAGTACATATTGCAGCAGATACTCATCATCTTACACTAAATATGACATGTCTGTATNGTAATGTGGATGAATGCAAGAAATAAAAAAAACACTGCATGTTTAGAAAATGCCCAAACCATCCCTGCAAATAAATAATAAATTTATTTACCGCATGTAGAGTGAAGCTGTAGCTTAGCTAGTCTCTTCTGCCTTTCTCTAACCCAGGAGGCAGATCGCTCCGATGACGAAAATCTTCCCAAACGTATCGGAGGTAACGGGCAGGAAAAAAGTGCATTTACACGCTTTGCTCGCGACTCTGGAAGACAGTCACTCGGTGGCGGACACCCTGCCATCTTTAAATGGATGGAGGCGCAAGAAAAAACAGAAGAGCAATACCAGAAAAAGGTCTGTTTAAAAAAGAATAGATGCCATTAACAGTTACCCAGTCAGAGGAAAAAAAAAGGAATTTGAAAATGGTTTTTCTCATAAACTGGGTCCATTTTCCAGTTCTGACCTTGTACTGTAGTAGTGCATGATTTCCTGTTACTCCTTTTTGGTTTTGTGTGTATTATTGTAAAGAAATTCCTGTATTTTTGTTAAGCTTTATAAAAACTATATATTATATTTATATGTTTTTAGACATGTTCTGAAGTGTTCTTATCTAACATAAATATAGTATTATTAACACACCTTTGTTCATGATTGAAAAAAAGTTTATTTCCTACCTTATAGTATGTCCAACCTGAGAAATAAGTGATTCTGTGGGTGTGTGTGTTTGTGAAAAAGGACACAAAAATATCTTGTTCTTGCATTCAGGCCCCAGATGGCAGGAAAGAACCACTAGGTGGCAGTGGAGTGGGTCATCAAGATGAGCCAAAGTCAGTGTCAAGGGGAATAGATGTGGGCCAAGATGAAGAACACTCAGATGGACACTCAGACAGCAGTAACCCCCATGATACTAGTGGTGACACAGACAATGGGTGGGTATCAAGAAATTAGATTCTTAAATGTCGGGAAGTTTTTAAGGTCAGATAAAAAATCAATGACAACATTACCTTTGGACTTCAATAGCTTGTTACTTAGCTAGTCATAATATAGGGGATGTTTGCATTAAATATATCAACAAACAAAAGGGCAAGTTAAAAATATATTGAGGTTGCAGAATATAGTATATTGTTGGAAAATAATGATCTGCTTTCAATCATAGTGTACTTAAAGATTGCCAGGAAAAAATTAATGGACTTTCAACAAACTATGTGCCTCATGTAGGGAGATTTTGTACATGATTAATTCCACTTAACTGAGCAAACAAGTCTTAAAGTGAAGGTAACTTGAAGGGTGTTTATGTGAAAAAAAAATTCCAGCAAGCAACCCCCACCATCTGCAGATTCAAAGAAAAACAACAATGAGTTGAAGAGTATAGAGGTTGTTAGATTGACAGCTGCCATAAATGGGCAAGATCAACATCGGAAGTTGCATAGACTGACACCACAACAACAACAGCATCAGTATGACACACAGCCTCACCAAAAATTATGTAGTTTGGTTGGAAAGAAATTTGGGAACCCAGTGTAAGGCTGTTCTCTGGACTTTGGAGTGTGCTGTGTCTGCAAATTGTTTTATTTTGTGATTCTGTTTGAAGGTTGAGTTTGCGTTTCTTTGGCAAAGTTAGGGGGCATTGTGTATATTATTCTCATATCTGATCTTTTGATGACTGCAGAGTTGTTGCCCAGTCCAAATGATTTGTTTTGTTAGAAGTTGTCTGAAGCTGGCAAAATCTTTTTGGTGTACATATCATTGTTTCGCTGAAAGACAAAAACAAAAGAATCTGGCGATGACATTGGTTTGATCATTGGTTTATTGAGTGTTTTATACTGTTGTTACCATTTTCCCCTCAGATATTTTTTTTTCTGTTGAAACGATATAAGGGTTATGTTTAGGATATTTTTTCTTTTTACGCAGACTTTCTTACTTGAAAGTATGCCAGTGTGGTATATTGATTTCAGCATCTTGAAAATATACATAATGATTGTATAATTGTTATAGTACTGATTTTTACTAGTGAATAAACATGGGAACAATAAAATTTAAAAGTAAGAAAAAGTACATATTGCAGCAGATACTCATCATCTTACACTAAATATGACATGTCTGTATTTTTTTAATTGTTGTTTATTACTATTATTATTATTTTATTATTATTATTATTATTATTATTATTATTATTATTAGTGAAAGAAGAGAAGAGATGATTGTGCTGAAAAATGAAGGTGGACCACTTGGTATTCATGTTGTCCCAGACTATGATGACTATGGAAGGTAGCAAATTTTCTTTATTTTTCTGTATTTTTTTACACTTATTTTGCAGAACATTAAGTGTGGGGTTTTCAGCAATTTTGAAGAAGCTCTTAGTTGCAAATCAAATAACGTGTTCCACCAACTGAATCACAATATGGCATCCAGCATAACTTCCAAAATTGAAATATGTCATTTGTTTGGGTCCTTCAAATGTAAGGTGTCATTCTATGTTTAGGTATCCATTGTGTGCATCTGCTAGCGTAGAACTATTTATTCACTGTTTAGATTATATAATTTATGTATCATGTTGTATAGATATAGTGCTACTGTTGAAAACTCATATTTTCCTTCATTATGTTTAGAATGTGTCTCTTAGACTAAGTAGAGAACTTCTATGATTGTCTAGATTATACATGAGTGTTGTAATTTGTAGATTTAGTGTTGTAACCATACCATGGATGTGGTTAGTATGGCAAGAAAGAAAAGAGAAAAGAAGGAATGATAAAGATATTTGAGGCATCAGCAAGCCATTGGCAGTGAATAATATGCTTTGTTTTTCTAAAAATTTTCATCTATCAAAGAAAAGTTAACACAACTTTTTGTAAAATTTTACCTGACACATGCTTTTAGGTCTTAATTACGTAGCAGTGAGGTTTGTCATTTTCTAAACAGACTAAGACTTATAATTGGATTTATATTTTGCGACCAATGATTCATATGGAGAAACATGGGACAGGATCAGAATTTAAGTCCTTGGTTATAATTCTCTGTAAATTTGGACTGAGGATTTCTGATGCCTTAATATTCAAATGTGACATTAAGCAATTTTTATTTTCATGTTGTTTCTTTGCGTGTTGGTGTAATAGCTTTGGTTAGTTACGTGTTTCAGGAAAATTGTTGTTCTTATTTTCGACTAACCCTGTGTTTTTAGGGATATGGGGCTGCTAATTCAAGGTATAGAGCCTGGAGGCAGGATCCACAAAGATGGCCGCCTTCGTGTTCAGGATAAAATTATTGAGATTAATGGAAACCGCTTAATTGATGTTAACTTTTCACAGTAAGTTTGGTTTCGGTTTATGTTCGTTATTATTATAGTGTTTGTTGTAAGTTAATATTGATATTTTTGTTGTTTTTATGTGTTGGTGATTTCTAATACTATTTGGGAACTGTCTTTGTCATGATGTTTTAAATTTGATATAAATTCAGGTTGTTCACAAATCATTTTCATTGTTTTTAGCCCTGAAAGCCATTTTTCAGATAACAATACATGCAATTGACATTTTTTATGCAGAGCAGTCTTTACCATTGAAAATATTTAAAGTCATAATAACTCTTCGTTTTGGCCAAAAATTGGATTTTCCTGGAAAAAACGGCAATTTTCCCGTACTTACCAATGGCCAACGACCCCATTCCTGCATTCAAAGTTAATCCAGGGTTTTTTTCCTAAACGTACGGTTTTTTGTTAAAATCTCTTAAGAGATTTTAACTGACGGAGCTCTCTCTGACATTGCAAAGTCACTGGTGACCTACTTAAAACCTCGGGAAAAGCAGACAACAACAACACTATATAAGATTCATGAGATATATTCGTCTTTTTGTTAAAAATGCATTTATATCCACAATGTGTGCCATTCTGGGCTTTTCGTTATCCGACGCACTGTACAAAAACTCGCAACTTACGTCTGAGGGTTTCCCGCCATGTTATTTTGGTCTCGAATGAACGCGAGAATCCGCGTGACACCATTACGTCATTAGCAACGAATGCACTTGTCGACCGGAAAAAAGGGATCGAAAGCCCTATTGACAAGCACAGATTTTAGTTTTCCTACAATAACGGCCGTTTTAGTGGTAAAATACAATAGAATATATTTCCATGCGTTGTTTACAATGTATTTCATGCGGATTTTTGAATCTCAAAGGAAGAGTTATTATTGCTTTAAGTCTGTATGCAAATCCAAAAACAGTAATTTTTGTGTGCATGAATAATATTTAGAACATATTAGAAAATATATAATTGCTAAGTCACAAGCTTTTACTTGTTTTACATAAGATTATGAGCTATTTGATACCAGAGATATTTATGACATGCTATCATCAGATCAACCTCCTGAAAATGTATTTCTTTCACTGACATGTTTTTGAACATTATTCTGTATGTCAACCAATGACAACTTTTCTGTTTTCAGCGCTCAGGAAATCTTCCGCCAAGCATTGAATACTCCCGATATTAAACTTCAAATCATTCGAGCAGAGTCTCCACCATTGCCCAAGCAACCACCTCCCACAATGCCCAAGCCATCATGGCGGCGAAAGCAAGATGAGGTTCTGAAAGAAAACAATGTTCCAATAGCAGAAAGAGAAAAAGCCATTGGAGATAAACTCATTAATGGTAACAATATGTCAGAGACAAATAACACAAAATACATGGATGTACCGATGAACATTGAACACCAGAAGGGTGGAGGGGAGGAAGAAGGGGACATTACGTCGCCTAACAAGAAAACCCCACCTGCCGTCCCACAGAGGTCACCCTCTACGCATTTGACAGCGCCTGCACCTGGGGTTTCAGTAGTGCCAGTTGAGCGGAACATTTTAACGGGACCAACTAACACAAGAAAGATAGGGAAGAAAGTGCACATACAACTTACAAAAGGTATTTGCATTTACCTGTAATTTTTTTTCTTATATTAGGTTGACCAAAATATTGAAAAATTTATCATTGACTTGCTAAGTGTCTATAAACAGTAATGCCAAATGTTTTTAATGATTCTGTTTACAAATTGGTCAGAAATATTATATTGATTTGTTGAGGGTTTGTAAACGGAAATGAACATCAGAAAATATGAATGTTATGGAGGTAGTGGGCACTCTTTTCCTTCCCCCCCCCCCCCCCCCCTTTCTCTGTATCCACTTCTGATTACTGTTCTTTTGGAAGAGGTTACTTTTGTTGCTTACCAACTTCATGATATATGGATGAGATCAAACTATATTTATGGCTATTTCAGGTCCACAGGGTCTGGGATTCAGTATTACTACCCGGGACAACCCTGCAGGAGGAAACTGTCCCATTTATATCAAACTATGTTTATGGCTATTTCAGGTCCACAGGGTCTGGGATTCAGTATTACTACCCGGGACAACCCAGCAGGAGGAAACTGTCCCATTTATATCAAAAATATCTTGCCAAAGGGTGCTGCAATACAAGATGGCCGACTCAAGCCTGGAGATAGATTGTTGGAGGTATGTTGCTTAAACCCCCTTTACACTGGACGGCATCCTTTCTGCCCTCCTTTAACAACCCTGAAGCTGGCATCGTTGTGGTGGTAGAAGCTTGAAACAAATTTAAAACACAAATTAATGAAATTTTAATGAAATTCCAGTAATGAAATGATTTTGATTATAACACAACACATGCATTGTGAACTCTTGCCAGTTGACTATATAGTTATTAAGCATCAAAGACTACATTCTAGCTATTAATAATTTCTGATATCAGGTCAATGGTATAGAGATGACAGGGAAGACTCAGGCCGAGGCGGTGTCCATTCTCCGGAACACTAAGCTGGGCAGTGTGGTCAACCTGGTGGTGTCCAGGCAGGAGGAAGAGGAACAGTTTGCTGTCCCCAGACAACTGGTAAGACCAGAAACACTGGCAGGTGGTTGATCAGAAAGGACTCGTAAGAATTTTACTCTTTGAATTTTTTTTTTTTTTTCCACATTTCAGCCGACAGTTTCTCTTACTACAACTGGTAAGCTAATCAAATTACTTTTTTTCCCAAGACAGAAATTGAGGAGATAAGATATTATTTTGACTCTCTGGGAAATTTTGTTTGGCACAGTTCAGCTTACTGTTTCTCACATTTTGCCTTAAAGTTCTCCCCATGTATTAGTTTTTATTCTATTTTCACATTTCTCTGCTTTTTGGACTTCACATATCTGACACCCAGTTCAAAATTTCTTTCCATTTCTTCAACAGTCTGCACTTAGTGTTTTGATGCATAACTTGCGTTTCATATGCCCTGGAAAATCTGGTATCACATAATTAATTCACATGTCAGTGGAAATCTTTCATAATGCACCAAGCTATGGTTTTTTTGTTTTCATTTTGATTAAAATCATTGTTTCACTCACATATAAAAAAAATTAGCACTGTTTTATAGAAAAAAAGGAAATTATTGGCCACATATGAAAATGGATTTTTTTGTTTGTTTGTTTGTTCATGATAAATTGTTATCATAATTGTCAATAGTTACCAAATTAAATCAGTGTTTTCTTGCATTTGAAGCATGCTAAATTGAAGGTAAAAAAAATGAGATGCACTTGCAGGTTGAAGTGTTGAGATAAACTGTAGTGAGAGTGTTTATATTGCACCTTGCAGTCTGGCAGGTTTTACATTCATCCAGCAAGTGTCTGTGATACTAAAGTCATGTTTTCGTTAGAACAAACATCGATCCTGTTTCCAACCTGTCTCGTTACACTGTCTGAATACTGCTAAGTATTTCATATTAGTAATAAATTATCCGTTCACTTTGAGAGGTCTAAGCCTGAAATTATATATATATACTCCACAGGGGGTTTTTACTGTCTTTCACAGTTCTCACAAAGTTTATTCTCTACTGTTAAGTTAATTATTTGGCTGTGCCAATTTTTGAGACTGGATTCAGGTGAGCCTTTTACATAATAACCAGACCTCTCAAAGTGAACTGATACAGACTGCATTGATTATAAATCAACATAAAAAAGACCTTAGTTAACTAATGACAATCAGATGGCTGATACTGATGGGTTTTTAGAGGATTGATGGATGCAAGCTGACTGAAAACATGCTTTAAAACTGATTAACTGACACATTTAGACAATCAGGTTCTTTGAAGACTAACATTGTATCCAGGCATTTTTAAATCCCATACATGAAACAACATAGTCATCCACTGATGGCAGATGATTTATTTTTGATCTGAAATATTACTGAGGAGACTATGCCATTGAGGATATTCCAGGTTACCTCACTGTTATTGAAATTTTTGATGTTGTCAGTGTGGGTAAAGCTTTGGGCTCTTAAACACCTGCTATATGCTGTTTCTGCTGCATACCGATCTTTATTTCTTCGTGGGCTTTTTGCTGTTGTAACTTAATGGCTTGTGTTTTACAGTGTTTGATTGAACTTACAGGTTTGATGTATGGAATTGCTGTTTTTGTACCTGTAATTTGGAAATTAGTACTGTAGAATATGTGGATCTAATTCATTATCTGTCCTATATCATTACATTTTTCTTCTGTGGGTAAAAGATAACTATAGAGAGCATTACAGTGAATCTGTGTTGTAAAGATACCTATAGATTAGCTGACTTGTATATTTAGATGTACCATGCATGTTCATTTAGTAGAATATCTCTCTTTCTCTTTGTGTTTTATTCCCATAATGTGCAACCAGTCATTCTTTTTTCCTAATTTGTAAAGAAAACTAAAGAAAGTGAAAAATTTTTTTACAAATTTAGACAAATATCTACATTCGATCCTTCCTGTGATTGGTTGCACAATGTATTCTCAAACCTCATTGGTGAACCGTACTTTTAACTGTGTGGCTGCCTGTAACCTCTGACCTTTGCACCTTGTGACCTTATGCAAATTGCAGGAATCAGACTCTACGAATGCTTTACAGCCAGCAGAAAAAGCTGCAGAGGAGGAGATCCCGGCCAAGGGTAACAAAGAGATTCTGTCCTTTGAAATTCCATTGAATGAGACAGGGTCGGCTGGGCTAGGGGTTAGCGTGAAAGGAAAGACGTCCACGGATGACCAAGGGAACACCAGAGACCTGGGGATTTTCATCAAGGCTGTTATTCACGGCGGTGCTGCTTCCAAGGTGAGTGGAAAATGGCTGTCAGATTGGTTTCGGGTTAGATTATGATGATCTTCCATCTTGGAAGTGAAGACAATCCCAGAGAAGATGGCAGTTAGCATTGTTTGAAGATATTTCGCTGAAAGACATAGGTGTTAATGAAAGCGCAGAAAGAAGTGGCTTTTGCTGTCAGAATTGACATGTAAGACTGTTAGCCTGGATCTTAACAGTTAATCCCGCATAAAATTAATTTACAAAAATGAATAGTACAAAATTTGTTTGTGTATTTTGAAAGGCTTGTAACTTCTTGAAATAAAGGTGTGGTGTATTGGGTTGCATCTTTCTCCCTGATAGTAATCTCTACAGGTAAAACATTTCAAATGTACATCTTTTAATTTGCATTGTAGCCATATATGCTGATTGAATATTTCAAATCTGCAATGTTAAGAGATTAATCACTGATTTGAATATGTTTCTAGGATGGAAGATTGAAAATTAATGACCAGCTGGTCAAAGTTAATGGAGAAAACTTAATTGGAAAGACGAACACGGAGGCCATGGACTCTTTGAGGCGGGCCATGCAAAAAACGGACCCTGTGCCAGGGATTATAAACCTGGTGATTGCACGCCGTATCGGGGCGCCACTTGCCAGTGGAACATCAACTCCAAATACTTCCGGAGGTGATCACCGAATTCTCCATGAACGAGAAAAGTCAAACACCAGCGAGGTTTTCTTCAATGGCCCAGAAGCAATGGAAGACTTTTCCTCTCAGCCATTGAAAAGAGAGGATTTAAAAGATACTGGAGAGGTTCGAGGAGACGAACCTTCAGAATTTAAAGAAAATAACTTGGACAAGGCCATTGACATACAGAAAATTCGTAATCCTGTACTTGACAGAATAACAGGTGGCGCTGGTCTCAGAAACCAGATTCCGTATGGCATGGCGCCCAGTGAGCATTTAAATGAAAATCGGACTTCCACAGGTGAACATAATCATTCCCCTCCCAACCAATCAAATTCCTTGCAACATCAGCTGAATAATTCGATCACATTGACAGGATCTTCCGGAGAAGTGATCATGATTGATGATGATCAGCTGACACAAGTTAAGGTAGGATTTTTATTGAATTGACTGTGTTTTCAAGACTCTGTGATGAATAACTTCACCATATCTTACTAGAAAGCAATAAAGTAGTACTAGATGTTTATCATCAGCATTTCTCCAGTTCTTCATTATTGTTTAATACATCTTGTTTCTTTACAATACTTCAGTACTCCTTTCACGTAGTGATTTTACTTCTTGTGTGCCATTTATACTGACTGTTTATTTGTCTAGTAATTTATGTATGGGTTTGTGATTTTAATTAATAAGACAGAGGAGGAGGAGGTTCTACAAAAAGTGTCCAGAAAAGAATAAAAGAAAATGAGGAGTTCAGTTCAACATGTTATATTTAATCCTAAATCTAACCTCATTTTCCTTGATGGAAACGATATGCTGGGACATACCATGTTTTTTTATTCTATGTTTGCTAGCTACAGCCACAAGTTGGCAGCATTACTTTAGTCACGTGCGTGCTGGCCCTAGGTGGCGCTAGGTTCTGGGCTTTGTTTACAGCGCTTCTTGAATTTCAGCTGCGTCCGCGGGCGATGCCCTCCCCTGCCAGACCGCATTCCTCTATAGATTTCCTTAATTACCCGCAGCCGCAGAGGGGCAGTTTTCGAAAGCAATATGAGCAAGCCAGAATGGTAAAATAACAAAGCATTTGAATGGGAGGTAGCAAGTTGCATGTTGTCTAGATCATAGGTCCGATGGTGGCTTCTGTTAATTGCTTAAGGGCCTTGTTGAAACTTTTAGATGATTTGGTGTTAGGAATTTCCTGTTGCATGTAAAAATGAAGATGCAAGATACAATTTGTTCTTGGGTTTGTAGGTGAATGGTTACATTTTGCTCTCATTCAAAATGCCTTATGTTCACTTTAAAAATGACATTTTCCTTTAAGGCCATTTATTCTTTGGTTTGAGTCTTCCACAGTAGATTTTTGTAGCTGCTGATGTTTTATTTCCATTCTAAATGCATATTTTACTAATATTGTTATAATTGAAATGCTCTGTAGTTTAGTAAATCAAATATTATTCATTGCATCATGGTCCAAAATCGATTACATCATCAAATGATTTAAGGCGAATAAGCATGCTATATAGTTTAGGGTTGCTTACACTCATATTAGAGTTCAGAGGCACCTAAAATCCACTGATAATTGTACAGTTAACAAAATTTCAGGCTTGCTGCAAACTCTCTTGTAAATGTGCAAGAAGGAAACGAGGAGGGCCGTTGAAAATTTAAATCCTTTTCATATCTTTACTAATCTGGTGAATTAATAAGATACTCTTGCAAATTTGCAGCAACAAAGTTTGCTTTAGATTGTTTGCTGCAAACTTCATAGTTTGTGGCAAATTTTCTGCATTTTTTTTTTATCTAAAGGTCATGCCTTCTGTGTTATTCCCATTTTTAACAAATTCAGTTAATGTCGCATGTCCAAGTTGCAAGACATTTTGTTATCTTGACTTTTTTGTTTCATATTCCATTTGACTTATTTAGCAAGTTTGCTTATCCCAGATTTGTATACTTCAAAGGCTTTGCTGTTTTATAAACTGCACTGATGATAACAATTTTCCTTTTGTTGCATTTCAGCACTACTTTTGTTTTAGATGGAATACTATATGCTTTTCATTATTTGTTTTCTTTGTCATTGCATCTTGTTACTTTTCCAACCATGGATCTATTAACAAATCATTTGCTTGGTTTTATATAGGTTTTGAGATTTTCAAGGTGTTTTTATCAGCAATACCTATTATTTAATTCATTTTATACCAAGGATTAGTCACATCTAACTTTCATTGTGCTTTATCTTTTGTGTTTTAATTTATTCAAAGAGACAAAGATATATTTTGTCAAAATGATTTTTGTTTTCTAAGGGGCTAGCTTTCACATTTCCTGATTTGTATTAATTTGCATTCACATTCTGTATAAAAATATATTAGCTTCATACAATGACTCATTGATTCGTGGCACCAAACATTATACTCTTGTTGTGTTTTCTTTAAAAAAATTCTTAATTTCCCTATTGTCCCATCTTCAGAAACCCAGTACCTCCAAGGAGAGGCCCCACTCTACAATAGGTTTCAATGCCAATGCCATAGCTGCCTCTCACCAGCCCCAGGGCCAGGGAGCCTCCACAGAGGGGGCTCCAGTCCCCCCTGAGTGGCTCAGTCAGTGGCAAGACCACCAGAACAAGGATGAAGAAGAGGATATGTGAGTTGGAAAAGTTTTTTTTTTTTTTTTTTTTTTTTTTTTTTTTTTTTTTTTTTTGTAAATTTTGCCAAGGACACACGTTTTCAAGCAGATTATGTTGGTTATTCACTATCATAATATTCATCTTTGTCATTGCTTTTAAGAAAAAAAAAGACTTGGCCAAAATATAGAAAATAGAAGAAGAACACCTTAGCCAAAACAGTTAATTTCTCCTTATTATTGATTAAATGATTCATAAATGAATAGATAAACCACTAAGATTTGAACAGTTTTTAATTTAATAAGTAAACCTATTTTTAACTCACATGAAATTTCCATCAGAATTGGAGATGAGTTGACAAAGCAGCAAACAGAACCTTCCTGGTAAGATGTCTCAGGTCAACAAATATAATATCATGTTTGTTTTTGCAGGAGTCCTATGCCAGATGAAGGCCATGATCCATTTAGGCGGGAAGGTTTTGGAAGGCAGAGTATGTCTGAAAAGAGAAAGGGGCATCTGGATCCAACCAAAAGTGAGATTTACCAGAAGGCGAAAATGGCAAGAGAAATACGAGGTGGGTGAATAGTGGACCATATAGATGTAGAATATCTGAAAGGCATATAAAAAAATGTCAAGATGAAACTGTATCAGTTCTGCTAATCCGTAGATCTATACATTTAATTATATGTTTCAGCCTGTCTCTATCTGTTATTTTCTATCTTTGGAACCCATTTTCTCCTGTTTCAATCTAGGAATGAGTGGGAGTCAAACTCTCCCTTTGCCAACAAAACACAAGCGTCCAGCCTCTTTCCAGTATGCAGGTAAACTAGGTGGCGCCACTGGCACAAAATGGTGGATGAAAAGGGAGCGCAACTAATATGTTGCATGCATTGTATAATTGTATGACATGGGGAACTATTAACCACCAATGTTTTATTCAACATTTTCAGGGCATTGTGTTCTATTTTATCAAGTATTAACCAACAAGGGCATCCTTGCGGTGTCTTATTAATTTCACTTATTTCAGCTTCACTGGTAATCTCCTAAACTTTTTGAGAATTTACCTGTTTCATAATAGGGCTTTGCTTGGCCACTTGGGTCTTTCAATAAGCAGCAGATCAATGATATCCAATTTGGACTTCATTTTTCTGTAACAAATTTGGTTTGCTTAGGATTAGGGGCATCATTGTGACATGCAACATTGCTTTAAATGATAACATTTCTAAATTGCTTCCATGTGCCACTGAATCTGTCATCTTTCAACAATTTAATTCTGTCAAGTTCATTCAATATTTGAGGGCAGATCCTGCATGCAGAAAAAAACAACTTCTCTGGTTCTTCAGTTACTTCAAAAATAACCACTTTAATTCCAAAATAAGGAGGTTATTTTACATTTCTGTTTTCTTCTTAAAGTGGGGAAAAGTTGTTTTTGAAAAACTTGACTTAATATTTCTCATCTAGATCAGTGACAACCAGTCATGAACTTCCATTTCATGCTTCTGTTTGATTTTCAGTTTTCAAATTAACACAACAAAATCTGTCTGATTGCATTCAAACTTGAGGCTCTTCAGTGCATCCACAGAGCCAAAAAAATTCTCCCATTGTCATTGGGACAACAGGGATGTATGATGCATTGTATGAGTACATGCAATGATACATTGTATCAGCACAAAATTATAACATTGTATTAGCATAATGATACATTGTGTCAGTTCATACAATGATACATTGTATCTGTATACAGTGACACACTGTATCAACCCACAAGGATACAAAGTATAAGTGCACTGCTTGCTGATTAACTGCCACTTAACAATTAACCAACGTTTTAATCTCGTATAATTGCAGATGGTGGCAATAACGAGGATGAGGATGACTATGGGGATGATGATGAGGAGGATAACCAGATCAACGGTGCGCGAATCGTTCGTGCGGGTTCTGCCGAGTCCCTGCTAGGTCATTCTAATCTCTCACTGCATGAACGGATACGATTCACCGGGGATGGTATATATATATATATATGCTTTCTTTAACCTAGTGCATTATAGATACTAACTGAAGGTTTTAACAGGACCCATGTGGTTTCATAGATTCTGTACTTTTCTTCCCACAGAGACAGTCTGTTGAAATTGTTTTATTTGAGAATTTTTTAATGGATTTTTAAAAACTGTACTTGTAAGTAGATTCATAAAATATCTACAAACTTAAAAGTAGAGTTTTGTATTACAAATCAAATCAAGTTGTTTTTCAATTTTTTCTTTATTTTTATATTCACTTGTATGAATTAAATAACATGGTCTGTTGAAGCCTTTGCAATATATGCATTTTCACTGATGATAAGATAGAAAACTCTCACTTAATAGACCATTTATTCTAATGAAGCTGTCTTAATGATCACTGTCATGAATACTATATTATTATAGCTGCACAAACACCATGCATTATGATGTATTAGTCTCTCTCTCTCTCTCTCTCTCTCTCTCTCTCTCTCTCTCTCTCTCTCTCTCTCTCTCTCTCTCTCTCCTGAAACACTGTATAAGTTTTGCTAAAGAAACCTTAGTCTTATAAACTTGAAAAGAAGGTACTTATTCACTCCTTGGCCCAATCATATGGAAAAAATACAAAAGAGGCCTAATGTGATGTAAATTAGTTGAATTATGCGTGACATCGTTCTGTGACAAGCCTCCCTCCCCCGGACACAATAAGTTGACTTTCAACCAATTATGGGTCAATGTTAATTTGCTGCTTGACCCCCATGGCCTCTCTGTTGTGTGTAAAGAACATTAGAGTGAGGTGCTAGCCTCGTAATGGTTCAGGGCATGAAAAAGCAACATAGCACTATTGAGAATAACACACAGCACATGAACAGTGAAAGTTGACATTGTATTGAATTGCTTTGTATTGTGATGTCACAGGCAGAGTTGACATTGCCTTGTACACACACACCCGGCTAGGTTTAATAAGACGGCTTGGCAAGGAGAGGCCAGAAGGCTACGTTTGTTGACTTTTTCCCCAACAATCAATTTCAAAGACATCACAGTAGAACAAATAGTGACAGCAAAGGGAGGGAACTTGTGGGGCTAATTAGGCATTAAGATAAATCTTGGCACTTTGAATTGCTCGTGCTGACTGGTTTATGGAAAGTGAGGTATTCTTAGAGGGGAGAAAAGAACTTGTGGTGCACACACTTTTGGTGTTAAGCCAGTTCCTCTTTGTAGAGATTATTCCAGCTCAGGGGACCATTTATTTTATGCGTCTTCCAGGAATCATCTGTGTCAATTATGGGAGAACCTAGAGCTGTTTGTTCTGTTCAGTGCAAACAGACACTGTGTGTGAAAGATGTAGTCAGTGCTCCAGTATGGAAAATTTAATTACCAGAGGGATCATGCATTTCATCTTTTCTGGAGGAATAGGCAGTCGTAATTGAAGCATAACACCTGTCAGACAAACTGCATTAAAGGAGCAGATTTGGTTATTCACCAAATATAGAGATGCTTAGGGCAGGCAGGTTATGCTGAGGGGTCCGTATACTACCCTTGTCCAACTGGTCAAACTCAAACATTTTGTGATTGACCAGCCAGTATACAGTCAGTCACCTGTCTGGTGACCCAAACTGACCAATCTGACATTGATTGTTATAATTGACCACTGGTCAGTACCAGATATTCACAATCGCCACTTGTCACAACTGACCTTCGTTGACGTCAAAATGGCGTCTGTTCTCCATGTGTCATTTGGAGAAACTGTCACCTACTGGACATGTCCCAATGACTGTAAGTAATAATAGTGTCATTTTCATACAGGCTGATTAGTTCAGATAATCTTTGCTGAAAGCCTTGCATTTTGGGGTAGCTTTTACATTAGCAGATTGTGCTTCAGCACAAAAAAAAAAGTTTTCAATAGGTCAAATAGAAATGGGCAAAATACACTTAATTTATAAACTATATTATATTTAGAAATTGTCTAAGGCATCAGTGAAAAGTTGATAACCCAGTATGAACACAGGTGTAGAAATCTGGCCTTGCAAAAAGTGCTTTCTTGTGATCTGAAATTAAATCACAAGTAACTCAATTTATATATAGGAAGCATGCATTATAGCTATAATGAATGAGTATGCATCAAGTTTTAACAGGCATGTTGTAAGCAGTGATGAAATAATACAGTGTATGCGGGGAGGGGTGGGGCTGATATGAAAGAAAGGAAGTTTGACTAGCAGCATGTTGTGTAAGTAGACTGCGTCAACTGTATGGCAAGAGCAAACTCCAAGCTGTAAACAAAGCAGCCCTCATTCTACATACTATACACTAAAACTAATGATGCATGTTTAACTAAATAATACACAGTCCTTCTTAGTTTAATAGCATTGTATTCAGGTGCATTTAGTCTGTTTGTTTAACACAGTTAAATAGTTTGGTTAACACAGTTTGACAGCTGTAGGCTTCTCAGTATGGACAACTCTGCTGTAGAGCACAGAACAAGTTCTAGTTTTTTTGCTCTCTGCCAAGGAGCATACAGAAAGATAGCTATAGTAAATGCTTTTTAATGGTACCCATTCTTCACTTGCTTAAAATTTTATCAGCAGGATTTTAATTTTATTATTAATAAAACTGATGCAATGTGATGCTGTCAGTTTATAGGTCACAGTGAGAATACAAAAAAAAAAAGGAAGCAAAGCCATACATCAAGAATACACATCGTACCATAAATACCTTCAACAGCTTTGAAATTATTTGCGCTCTGTAGTGATTATTTGCTAAGTAACCCAAATATTTTGAGACAGAAGTGACAGAATTCATTGTTTTACTTGATGTAACTTGGAAATTGGACCATGTTCATCTTCAGTATGTGAAGAATTTTCCATATTCAAATACCTTCCATATTAGAAAAAGACTAAACTCCCTACCTCTTTCAGATTCTGTACAATTCTTTGGGCACTTTCTGTATTTATTTCTTCCATAGTTAGGCTCAGGTCCTCTATATTTTATTGTTTTGTAGTAAGAACTAACATAGTACTCAACACAAAGTAAGCCAAGTAAACAAAATCATCTTATAAAAAATCTGATATCTTAAAATAACTAAGACAAAAAAATATACATCTTTTCCTCAATTTGCCTGATTTGAGATAACCTCAACCTTGATATACCATGACCTTTTACCTTGACCTATTTTCTAATCCAGTAGGTGGTAACAAGCAGGACTTTGGCCCTACCTTGGGGATGAAGAAGTCCAGTTCTCTGGAGAGTCTCCAGGCCATGGTAGAGGAAGTGGTCAAGGAGGAGGATGGAAATTACTGGAACCAGGGGACGGGAGGGGTCAGCAGAAGTCGCGGGTGCAATGAGAGTTTTCGCAATGCAGTGGATAGGTCATATGAAGGTCAAGTTGGTGTGGTGGCAGAGACAGTTCCCATGGAACCACGTAAGTTGGATTTTGTGATGAGAACAATGAAGTTAATGGCATTAAAGTCGTTTAGGACTGAATTATCCCTTCAGGTAGCATCATTTTTATAAAGGTGGTCAGTAAATAACAATGTGAAAAAAATGTACTTTTGCACCCCTATGACTATCTGGTATTCAACTTAAAATAAAAAACCCAAGAATCAAAGAAACATGATATCATGTGTATTTTGCAAAATTTATTATGTATGCCATTATTTGCTGCAGTGGAGGAGGAAAGTTCAGAAGGAGGCTCTATTCGCCAGTCTGGTGGACGGGATTCTTTCAGCAGTAACAGCAGCGACCCCATGAGTGTGAACAGGAAGAAGAAAAAAGGAGGGCTGTTTAAGGGGCTAGGGCATATGTTTAGGTAAACTGTCCGAGTTTCTGGAATTTTTCAAAATATTATGAAAAACTAAACTAACTTGAGTGAGAAATATTTTTAAGCAGATTACCATTTTGATGTATTTTGGGTAATTTTAGCACTGCGAGGTATGATATTGCTGTTGTGCATAATTATGTTAGCAAACTCCTGCTGTAATCCTTATAAATTTAGAAGTTAGGGGAGGGCATAAAATAATTATTTACTTTCCGTGATGAAAAATAAACAAGATTACAAACAGCGTCGTTGACTGTAATAAATATTTTCATTTCAGGTTTGGGAAGCACAGAAAATCCCTGGAAGATCGAATGCCCAAGATGTCGTCTGCAGAGATGCACCGCCAGAGAGAGCTGGAGAAACAAAAACAAGAACAGATGGAAAGATATAAAGCAAGGATTGACGCTCAACAGGAACAAGAAAGGTATTTTTGCACAGAGGGGGCTGAAAAAAGAAATTAAGTCATACATGCACTAAAACAGTAGTATGGAAAGATTAACAGACACTTCATTTCTTCCTTTCTGATTTTTTATTTTCAGGTGGCTTGACATTAGGTTGACTGCATGGCATCCAGCTTAGACTTGAAGCTAAAAGCATAAATACTAATCTTTTGTCCTTACTGAAAATAATGCTATTTATTGTTTTCCGTTATCAATGTGTTAAATGTACTTTTGGCAGACAAGAGGAGTTGCAGACAGTTGACAATTTCATGCAGTTTTTCTCTCTTGACACGATGATTGTGAATGGCAGTGTACTATTCAAAGTGTGTAGCTTAAATGTCAAATTCACTCAAGACTAAGACATGGTGAACTACTTGCAAAATAAATGCTTTGCCATCTTTGGATATCTGTAATATACTCTGCATTTACTAACTCTTATTCAACTTATTTACTCTTATTCAATTGATTAACTTTTTCACAAACCTCAATCTTTCTTCAATATTTCTTTCTGCTTGCTTTGAAAGGACTCATGGCAAAAAGGTTCTTGACTCATGGTAGGTGGAGGGATGTGGTGGATATTTTGAAAAAGAAAAAAAGAAAAATGACTGATGCTGACTGTAGTTTATAATTTAGTTGAGTGTGATTTTGGTTGTTGAAAGAAAAATTGAAAGTAGACAATAGTTACAGCTACTGTAGCATGAAAAATTATTATACATCATGCACTTTAAAAAAATTATATTGTTAACAAAGACCACAGGTAAATGAATTTTTTTTTTTTTTTTTTTTTTTTGGGGGGGGGGGGAGGGGGAATTGTGTAGAATTAGGCCTCAGTATACAGAACAGATAACCGTGACACTACCACAGTTGTAACAAAACCCAGTTCCAGCATGTTTCGCACGAGCTTTTTAAGTCCTGACACTGGGCACGTCAGTTTCTTCATGTTTTAACTTCCATTCATGTATGCACAGATTACAAATCTGCATCCAGAATTTCATGATTCCCTAGAAGACGAAAAGATAATAGATTGTGAAAAAAACAAACTGCAAGCTTCAATCAAACACCCAGCTCAACCAGTGGGTGGGTAGGAAAATTTGAAAATGAAGAACTAAGTCCACATCGACTCTAGAAATTGGGTTATATGGTTTTTATTACAAGTGTTGCAGTTTGTATTAAAGACTACAAATCATGTGTGTTCTTTGTGGTAAAGTCTGATGCATGTGCATGTTGTGTTTTGTGGTGAATTGGTGTTATAGTGAGGTGTTGGTCATGTTCACACCAAGATCACCTTAGATATAAGACAGACTTATTGACATCATCAGGCAAACATGATACACAAATGTCCTTTACTTTAAATCCTAAAAGATCTCAAAAGATATATTAAGCTGTACGGATTCAAAAAGCCACTGTTAGTTTACGGTTTTATGTCTCACTGTCTTGTATTTATTTCATCTGCACTGGTATAGGAAGTTTGTGGAAAAGAATTAATATAGACTTTGTGAAACTGGACCCAGGTCATCTGATGATGTCATTTAGGGTTGTTTCAGTGTAAGTTGATTCTGTTGTGAACATGCCTGAAATGCTGAGTTGTGGTTATAGTATGTCTAATGTCCATGGTAGCTTCATAATGTGTTTGAATACTTAAGAGTAAAATATATTTTGATGATGCTTTATGATCTATTTATTTATGTGATTGTCTGCTTATTCTAGGATACAAGAACAATATCGCAAACTCCAGGAAAAGCAGAGGCAGATGGAGAACCAGAAGGCACAACAAGAGCAAGACATGATGTCTCGGATGGAGAGGCAACAACGGAGCATGCCAGCAAACTTGCCCACAACACGAGCAGAGAGAATTCAGCAGCTACGATCGGAACACCAACGGCGCCATCGTGAACGCCATGGCCAGTATCCAATGGAGGAGCAGGAAGAAACCTACGAACGTCAGATAGTTGAAGATGAATATAGGGTAAGTTTTTTAAAAATTGGAACTTTATTTGCTAAAAAAAATTGTTGCATTTAGTTTTGTAGGATTTTGAAATTTATTTCTTTGTCGTGGTAGAAGATTTAATGTAAGGGCTTGAAATGAGTATTGCATGCTGCATATAATAATGTTATTTTCACTCCCATTTTGTATTTAATGTCGAAGAAATTACTGCTTTTTGTGTAGATGGCATTAATTTTGCAACTCAAGTGTTTTTAGAAGAAATGTAGAATTAATATTGTCCTGATGCATGTCATGGTTTGTATGAATTTATGGTGAAATAATCTGCCCAGCAGTTCCTCTTGGGCTTTACTAATAGAAATCTCTATCTAATCCCAATCATAAATAAATGGAATTGATTGAGCATGCTGTATACTGCTGTTTAAATGCAGAAAATGACTGTGGAAAAACGTTGATTTGTTGACAAATTGGTCTGTGGGATGTTTAAACAAGGAAAGCGTTAGACTGGGGATTGGTCCTTCTTGTTTCATCAGACTATTCTGCAAGATTTGTAATAAAATATATTTAGTGAAAGAAAAGTTTGGCTGTTGAACCCTTAAGAGAAATGAAACCTGTAGCACAGAAGTTAATGGAGACTTTTTGGAATTTGTCTACAGAGACTATGGAATGTAATCTGCTTCATTGATGAAATGAGTTAGACCAATTTGTAGCCTAAATTTTGTTGGAAATTGGCTTTGGGAATAGTAAGGGGGTTGCTATGGAAGTTAAAGTTTTGTGTAATTGCCTGTGCATGTTACTTTCAAAATGTTATAGCTTTGTTAAGTATTGTTTTGAAGCAGGTAAATTACTTTGTAAAAAAAAAAAGAAAGAAAAATAATGTTTAAGAAGGCAGCAAATTCCTCAAGATTTTGTGCATATCAGAGCTGTGATGGTACAATAACATTGAGTTTAGGTAATGTTGGTGCCAATTATTAGCTCAACAATAAATTCCAGTCAATTATGAAATTTACTTTGATACAGTAGTTTGCCTGTTTTACCTTTTAAGATATAAGATAAGAAAAATATGTTATTCTGCACTATTGATTGCTTAACATGTACAGCAGAAGATGGACCAAAATTATATAATAATTTGGAGAGAGAACAATTTGTTTCAGCTACCAAAGAAATTTATTAATTTATATTATTAAAAATAAATAAATAAAAGATGGCACTTTTAGGTTAACTGAAAACTGTACATGTTGCAGTCTGTGCTGGGATGTTTGTAGGTGGATCATTGTGGTATATATTTAATCATTACGTAACATATTTAAGGCATGCAATTTTTGGACTTTTCACTTAGGAATACAGACTCTTCCACCCCTTAAGATCATTGTTCAGTATGTCTCGCTTCATAATATCAGACACTGTAAGATATTATGTCTCAAAGTAAGTTTTTTGCCTGAAATGCAAGGCAGATGCCAACTCAAATAGCAAGTCATTCTGGGAAAATGACCATTTTGATATTATGGGATAGAGTAAAGCATGTTGGGAGTGGTTACAAATGGGGATGACACCAGGGTGATGCAGACTGAATGGTGATAAAGGAAGATTTAAGGACCTTGCTTATATGGCTGATCATTTTAATGAGATCAATACTATATATATTATGGTGAATGCATATCTCTTCTTGGGTAAACTGGTTATAATGGTATTTAATTAGGAATTTTTACTTTAATCCATTTCATGAAAAGCTTTGCATCCCTTCCTTCTGGTTCACAGAACAACTGGGTTGGTTTTGTCGGAGTATATATGAAACTAAGAAGTGAAGGAACTTTTCCAGAAAGTCGTACCTGTTTCTTAGCGAACCAAAGATTATACATGTCAAAACTGCGGTGTTGTTTTGTAATTTGCTAAAATGTTTTAGAACAGTTGTTTTGTGACACAAATCTCTTTGGTGATATATATTTTTGGGTTGTGTGTTGACCAATTGGAGCAGGCTTATCCTCTGTCCCTTCCATCCCCCCCTCTCTCCTCTCCTCTCCTTGTTTTGTCTAATGTTGGGTGTGGTTTTTTTGTGCTGTCATTGCTCTTCCAGTAACTATATTATATCATTCTCTTTCTTATCATTACCCTCTTAGTTTCCTACTGATGATGTAGCAAGTGGACATCTTTACTCTGACATGATGTTACAACTTATGACGGTGAGAAATGATATTGTTTATGTATGAAGAAGTCATTTTGTCTGGTATTAAACATAAGTTGTACATTTTGATTTGTAAGTTCTTCGTAACAGAATTGTCTCCGGCTCTATCAGTGGACACAGAATACTAATATCTTAACTTATAACAGATGTTAAGAAATCCTGTAATATATATAGTTTCAATATACGATTGCCATAAAGGTATTACATCCTGATGATTTTTACGTGTTACATATTAATTAAGATAAATGGTTATTCTATTTCAAATGTATTTTGTCATTATGAATGCATTTGGCAGCTAGGATGTATTGTTTCTACACAAGTTGGGCAAGTGTCTGTTAGTCCTAAATACAAATTAAAATGTGCAAGCATGGACAGTTTTCTTTGTGTCTAAGAGATTTGTCTTCTGTCATATTTAGTCGCATTTTGTTTCCATAACATAAGAGTGTATATTGCTTCATGTAAACTTGTAAGTAAACTTTGAAGTGTGTTGATCATGGGTCTGAACATAGTGTGTGCATTTGATACCAAGGCTGTGGTATCGCTTTCAGATTCCAGAACTCTCACAGGCTTGATAATGTTTAATAATATTTAAGACAATTCAGATCTGTGTTTCATGTATTGTTGTTCATTGGGCATAACAACTTGTTTTCTATAACAAGCTTTACTGATCTTGGTGTCAATGTAAAATGTTTTTGAATGTGTTACATTTCTGATTTAATTGGGGGATCATTTGCTGTCTTTTCCATGTTAACAGTACAAATTGATGAGTTTACATTGACACTTGAACCATTTCTCAGTCTCAATGTCAACTTGTCATTATTAATTGGTGAAATAGGACAACTGGAATGGCTGTTGGGTTCTATCTGGTCATTCAGAGGAGCCCGACTTCTTTGCTGAAATCTCACTTGCAAAGCAAAAGAAAACATTAACGTTACGGTTGTGTGCATGTATACAGGAACCAGACGGGACTTCATGACAGTGATCATTGTGATTGGGTGATCTTGTTCTTAATGTTCGTGTTCAAAATGGAATTAACTTGGACTCAAAGTATTCAGTAATCATAAGTTATTATTATATGATCAAACTACCAAGCTGATGAGTATTTTTGCACATTATTTTACCTTATTTTGTGAGACTGTGCCCTGCAGGTGGCATTGGCTGCATTCACAACAGCAGACAAACCAGTCCGTGGATCAAATATGGCAGACCCACTTGAATGCTTGTTTCCTAATCCCCTATTCAGTGTCTGTTAGAGGATTAGACAGAAAGCTTTTAATTAAAGTAAGTTGACATATTTGATCTCCAGATTATTTAGTTGTTGTGAATGCATCATTTAGGCAGTCCAAGTTACTTCCAGTTCTGAACACAGCCAGATGTGTAATGCCTAGGGTGGCAGTGTTTGTTATGCCTAACCCTCTGTTTCATTAACACAATTAACCCTTCCCTTACAGAAAAGTGGGCACCAGGGTCCTGTAGGTGGTAACGGGAATGGCGGTGCTAACTCGTACGCTTTGCCGCCAAGGCGAAAACCTGATCCGAGGCCACAGTATGACAGGTAGTGGAGTTCTGGTGCAGTTTTTGCTGCTTTTTGCTGGCCATTTTGGAAATTGTAATGTATTGTGTGTTTGTCTTTTTGCATTGTGCAGTGTTACTGAAAATTTTGTGCATTAAAGTCATGGTGCCATGCATTGTTTTAACACATTGCCATATTGTGTATTGTGCATTGTGATCATGAACAGTGCAATGCACATGTACAGTATGATATAATTTTGTGATATTGCATTGTCATAACACATGGTGCATGGTTAAAATGTATTATACATTGTGATCAGGAAAGTGTACCAAGTCGACACAAAATGAAACAAGGGGGTATTTACATATGCCATTAAATTTCCTTTATTCTCGTCAACTTTATTTTTTCGGTCAATTGTCAGTCAGATTAATTTAGCATATTATTCTAAAATTAACCCTAAAAGTATTCTTTATAGTTTCATTTTACCACCAGCGTTAGCGCTGGCGGTNATAATGTTTTCATAAAACTTCAAAACAAACTGCAGTCTTGCACTAAGGTAACTCTTGCACTCTAACAACAAACCTAAAATAATTTGTCTCCGTTGAAGCATTTGAAGCCTGGGTTGTGTTGCACCTTGTAGTCAGCAGTTGCTGCTATATAACTGAGCCATAAGATTATTGCTAAAGCAAAGGGGATTTTAGATAAACTACAAAGGCACCTGAACTCTGGGTAAATGTAGGACAAGATAAATCAGTAACATCTAGCAGAAATAATGTGTAAATTATTATTATTTCTTTTGTCTCCTTTCAGACCGAGGTATGATTATTCAGATCCACAATATTACAGTCATTATGCAAATTACAATGAAATCCAAGAACAGTTGAAAAAACAGGATTATTACAGGGAAAAATACATGCAGTACCAACGGGAAAGACAGCAGCAAAATCATCACCACCCTGGTCCTGCTGATGTTCAACAAAATGGTCGGGGTTTTATGCATGGGCCAGGACAGCATAAACCACAGGAAAACAACCGTGATGTGTATGGTCACCCCCATCATAAACCCCCAGAAAATAACCGGGGTGTTTACGGCCACCCACAGCATAAGCTGGACAATAACCGCGAGTCACTTTATGCACAAGTGAATAAAAACAGAGACACAGGTTACAACCAAGGTCAAAGGTCATCAAGGTCACAGACACCAACAAACAATTTGGGTTACAGTCCCCATTATGCTATAAAACCACAACCACAGAATTTACCAAATATTGTCCTGAACGATAACAATTTTGACTACGACGACCCCAGGCATGCATACACAGAGCATCATGGAGGATACGAGGCAATTCCAAGAAGAACTTTGTCACAGAAACAATTGGAAGAATTAGCAATGTCAGGGTCAGCTCAAGTGTAGTCCAGCAAAGCTAACAAAATGGCTGTCATTTCAGCTGTCATAACAACAGTGAAACCCAAAAGCAGGGTGGCATTTCTACCATTGAAATACAGTGAAGCTAAATGAGGAGAATATGTGAAGCTTTACACAGCAGTGGCCTGGTTTCAAGAAAGTTGAATCTGATAATGTTTGATGAAAAGACGTGAAATTTTTGCAAAAAGAAAAATGAATGAAGAAAGGGCCTTTTCCAAGGTTTGAGTCTATTGAACGTGTATGGCCCCTTTAACATCTTGCTTTACACTTATCTGTATCAGAACAATTACACTTGTCCAAATTTGTAATTGAGCTGTGTGCGGTTTTGCTCCCTTTTACATGTCCGATTCCCTAAAAAAAAAAAAAAAATGTCGAGTTAGCTGTTTGTGTGGAGCACAGGAGATCCATTTACATGACTCTATTATGTGATAACCACGCTGTAATGTTTTCAATCCCTAGGTGTTTTGATATAGATAAGTGTATCACAGGATGTAAAAAGTGACAAGGTTTAAAAGATCATAACACTAGTATGCCTGGATGTGATATTTTATGACAGAATATTGCTAAAAAAAAAAATGAGTGATTTGTTTCTTATTCCATCCACTCGTGACATATTCAGGGACAGTTTTGTGGGTTGCTCAGGAAAGTAAAAGTAGTTTTTGTATTGTAATAGGATTTCAACATGAAAATAGACTAGTCTTCATACTCTGTGTATACTCTCATCAGACCCCCTGTGTCATAAAATAACATGGCTCAAAATATGGTCCTAATATTTAGGAGAAAGTTAAAATCCAATTTGATCTATGCTCAATTTTTGAAAGGGACGCTGATGAGTTGATGTAACTTGGCCTAAAACAAAAAAGGGCTAAAGTAATGAAAATGTTTTAAGTTGGGTTTAATTAAAAGTTTTATTGTGAAATTTGGCAGCTGTGAATATTTACATATTGTGAACAAACTATTAGCCCAAACTTAGAAATTGGTAAAATATCCACAAACAACACAAGCTGAAAACTTGAGTAGAAGATTGAAATAATATCCTAAGTTTATGTTGAACGTACAAGAATGTCTCTGTCTATTTATATGTCTGAGATTTATCGGTGAAATTTTTCATTTTTGCATCATGAGTGAACCAGCAGCTAGCTAAAACCAACTTGTAAATCAGTACTTTAGGGTAATTTCAGCATTACATCATGATATTACTAAATAATGTTTCTTAATGGTGCAGAATTGCCATTTTGCAGTAGTTTAAGTTGATTATTGTGTAAATACCATCTGCATGTATTGTGTACATTGTTATGTGAAAACAAGCACATGTTCATCTGTGTAAATAAGTGCAAGAGCCACCGTGTGTGCCTAATCATTTGTAAACAAGGTATCACATAGCATTGAGCGAATGAGAAATAATGTGGCAGATGAAAAGGAATGTTAAAGATAGCCTTTTTTTCAACCGATATTGTCCATGGGTTCATTATACATATGCGTCACATATCAAACATTCTTGAGTGATATTTCCATTGAACAATGGAGTTTTTGTAAAAAAAATATTGTTGGGAGATATTTTTTACTCCTTTCTTTTCTATTCAAATGACCAAGCTATCAGTAAGTAACTGTAGCAAGATACAACAAATGGAACAAAATATGCAATACAAATTCGTCCACATTCGTTCCCTGCCCCTGTCTGTAGCAGGTTTGCTATTGAAGACAGTTTTTATACATGGTGATATTAAATACTGCGATTAGGGTTCATTTTGTCCACTTAAAAATCTTTTCCCTGTGTTTCATGTATGTACGTGCTTTTGCTCAAAATACACTGGTGGAAGATGCCCACGGGCAGTCACAATGTCAGGGTCGGGGATATTTATTGTGTATAAATGTCAAAGTAACTGATCTACTGAAAACAAATTGGAACTACAAAAATACAGGTATTTATTAAACAAGGGCCAGTGGAGAACAGTCTAATGATCACGTGAGTCTGCTCGTGAACTCGTGATTTTACTGTTGCTATCTGTGTAAACGCTATGCGGCTTTGTCTGTCTCCATTTTAATTATAAATTGTAAGAACACTGGTTATTTGATCATCATTGCATTTAGATGTCCTCCTTCCTTCGTAAATGGATAATTTATATTTTGGATTCTTTTGACAGTTATGTTTATCATGTGTACTATAAACTGATTTTGGTTGGTTTAAAGAATCACGCATGTATAGATTAATGTATACGTTATCTTGTCCGTAATTAATTATTTTATCATATAACGTGCTGTAATCTAGTACGTTAACTCATTAAAGGCATATCCCTTATGTGAATTAGTAAATGGTACATGTGATTATTTAAAAGATATCAATGGTTCATTTGGTGCAACGGTTTGGTGTCTTGATGAATCTGCTTAGATAAACATAACATATGCACCCCTCCATTTTTATACGGCAATACTAATATTTATATTTCTAACATTGAACTTGTATATTTCCAGCACTTGATCGGTTCTTTGTACATTGTTATCACGTGAACTGTGTCACGTGAGATATACCACGTGTCTCGTATAAAGGCGTTAAATTGGGTACTAAAATCAGTATTTTAGGTGTACTGTAAGCGTACCGAATCATTGCTAAATTTTGTATCTAAATGATGATGGTAATAAAGTATCTTTAATAGAAATGAAGTTGAGTTGTCCGTTTTAATAATGTAGGACGTTTGTCCTGGTCGACGAAGGCTTATTGTGGAGTTGAGGAACAGAGTAAGATTGGAAAAACGCTTAAGATGCATACCAATGTACTACAGCTATGCACATTTCCTGATACGCATGCGAGTTAATTCTACCGGTTTCCTGAGCTGTTCAAGTAAATCCCATATTCCAACAGATAGCCCAAATTAATTACCCTGAGTGTTAGAGCAACGTTAAAGCTAGCTTGTTAAATATACCTTGTGATGGAGTCGCTTTTACTAGTATTGCTGATATGGGTTATATATGAAATCAAGATCGAGCTGGCAATAACGGAATCTAAAACCTAGGGTAAAATTAATCTATCGACTAGCAAAACAAGAAGATATTTCAATCTTTAACTTCAAATGTCTGGTGATAAACTTGACCTACTTATCCGTCCCTCCATTTCGCAGTGATGCGAAAATAATGAAGTACCCCGGTGTAACGAAACTGAGGGTCCGTGTAACAGAAAGTCTGCCCTCCATATAGTTATAATGGTTAGGGTTAGCCTGACTTTAGTGGGCAAAATCCCCCAAGCCACCCACCCAAGTCGGGATCGAATTCACAAAATGTGGGCTTTTTAAGGATAATATTTGCATAACTTTATTTTGTCTTGCATCCTTTTCTGACACCTTTATCTAGAAGGGCAAAAATGATATAATCGGACAAGTTGAAAGCGTGCAAATATTAACGGGTGTGTTTGTGTGGAATGACTCATTTGTTTATTGTGATTGTGATAGATGTGAAGCAGTTTGCAACATTGGCAGACTGCATGGTCGTTAATCGCTTAAGAAAAGTTCCCAATCCACCTTTTTACTGTACAATAAAGCAGACAACATAGGGAATATTTCATGTTGATTCGAATCTCATCTTACACGCGATCGGCCACTTACGCTCTTTGTTTTAAAGGTACAAGGACAGCGAATCCGACATTTTAGAGATCGATCAAAACATTGACATTGAGTATGTGACGCACATGGTTAGCTGTTCATTTATCAGTCTAGTGGAACCTGCGAATAAAAATGGAAATTGTAAAGAAAACGTGAAGGTTGTTGTTTTCTATTTGCTGTGGATGTTATGTAAAAGTTATTTAATTTTGCAGCCTTATAATTAGCTCTAATAGGGATTTTGAACCAAGCACATTATTTTTGTTGCTTATTGAACTTAATCCTTTAATGTTTTGTATAAGCCATACTAAAAAATTAGCTCACGCAAAATGAAGTCTGTTGGAATAATTATGTTTGAAAATCACAAAATCTTCTAGTCAAGGGGACTACAGAACAGACAAACAGAAACGGGTCGATTTACTGGCAGCATGTCCATTAAACGCTAACGATGAAGAGGAGTGTGTTCTTTTAGCCATATTTTGCCAACACCTACAGGTACTTGAATATACACAAAATTGAGTGTTTTTAATTATCTTTGTAAAAATTGTTAGATACGTTTTTCTGTGCTATTCCATCTTCACAATATCCATTTCATATTTTCTTTTGTTTACATTGTGTTTATTTATTCATTCCTTTATTTTTTATGTACAGACACAGATGTGTCTGTACATATAGCCATCATCTGCGTCTGTCGTCGTCGCCGTCGTCGCCGTCGTGCACTTTTACCGATAACACGATAAGTGGAAAACTGTTATTTATNTTTATAATGTTTTCATAAAACTTTAAAACAAACTGCAGTCTTGCACTAAGGTAACTCTTGCACTCTAACAACAAACCTAAAATAATTTGTCTCCGTTGGAGCATTTGAAGCCTGGGTTGTGTTGCACCTTGTAGTCAGCAGTTGCTGCTATAAAACCGAGCCATAAGATTATTGCTGAAGCAAAGGGGATTTTAGATAAAGTACAAAGGCACCTGAACTCTGGGTAAATGTAGGACAAGATAAATCAGTAACATCTAGCAGAAATGATGTGTAAATTAATATTATTTCTTTTGTCTCCTTTCAGACCGAGGTATGATTATTCAGATCCACAATATTACAGTCATTATGCAAATTACAATGAAATCCAAGAACAGTTGAAAAAACAGGATTATTACAGGGAAAAATACATGCAGTACCAACGGGAAAGACAGCAGCAAAATCATCACCACTCTGGTCCTGCTGATGTTCAACAAAATGGTCGGGGTTTTATGCATGGGCCAGGACAGCATAAACCACAGGAAAACAACCGTGATGTGTATGGTCACCCCCATCATAAACCCCCAGAAAATAACCGGGGTGTTTATGGCCACCCACAGCATAAGCTGGACAATAACCGCGAGTCACTTTATGCACAAGTGAATAAAAACAGAGACACAGGTTACAACCAAGGTCAAAGGTCATCAAGGTCACAGACACCAACAAACAATTTGGGTTACAGTCCCCATTATGCTATAAAACCACAACCACAGAATTTACCAAATATTGTCCTGAACGATAACAATTTTGACTACGACGACCCCAGGCATGCATACACAGAGCATCATGGAGGATACGAGGCAATTCCAAGAAGAACTTTGTCACAGAAACAATTGGAAGAATTAGCAATGTCAGGGTCAGCTCAAGTGTAGTCCAGCAAAGCTAACAAAATGGCTGTCATTTCGGCTGTCATAACAACAGTGAAACCCAAAAGCAGGGTGGCATTTCTACCATTGAAGTACAGTGAAGCTAAAATGAGGAGAATATGTGAAGCTTTACACAGAAGTGGCCTGGTTGCAAATAAGTTGAATCTGATAATGTTTGATGAAAAGACGTGAAATTTTTGCAAAAAGAAAAATGAATGAAGAAAGGGCCTTTTCCAAGGTTTGAGTCTATTGAACATGTATGGCCCCTTTAACATCTTGCTTTACACTTATCTGTATCAGAACAATTACACTTGTCCAAATTTGTAATTGAGCTGTGTGCGGTTTTGCTCCCTTTTACATATCCGATTCCCTAAAAAATAAAAAATGTCGAGTTAGCTGTTTGTGTGGAGCACAGGAGATCCATTTACATGACTCTATTATGTGATAGCCACGCTGTAATGTTTTCAATCCCTAGGTGTTTTGATATAGATAAGTGTATCACAGGATGTAAAAAGTGACAAGGTTTAAAAGATCATAACACTAGTATGCATGGATGTGATATTTTATGACAGAATATTGCTAAAAAAAATGAGTGATTTGTTTCTTATTCCATCCACTCGTGACATATTCAGGGACAGTTTTGTGGGTTGCTCAGGAAAGTAAAAGTAGTTTTTGTATTGTAATAGGATTTCAACATGAAAATAGACTAGTCTTCATACTCTGTGTATACTCTCATCAGACCCCTTATGTCATAAAATAACATGGCTCAAAATATGGTCCTAATATTTAGGAGAAAGTTAAAATCCAATTTGATCTATGCTCAATTTTTGAAAGGGACGCTGATGAGTTGATGTAACTTGGCCTAAAACAAAAAAGGGCTAAAGTAATGAAAATGTTTTAAGTTGGGTTTAATTAAAAGTTTTATTGTGAAATTTGGCAGCTGTGAATATTTACATATTGTGAACAAACTATTAGCCCAAACTTAGAAATTGGTAAAATATCCACAAACAACACAAGCTGAAAACTTGAGTAGAAGATTGAAATAATATCCTAAGTTTATGTTGAATGTACAAGAATGTCTCTGTCTATTTATATGTCTGAGATTTATCGGTGAAATTTTTCATTTTTGCATCATGAGTGAACCAGCAGCTAGCGAAAACCAACTTGTAAATCAGTACTTTAGGGTAATTTCAGCATTACATCATGATATTACTAAATAATGTTTCTTAATGGTGCAGAATTGCCATTTTGCAGTAGTTTAAGTTGATTATTGTGTAAATACCATCTGCATGTATTGTGTACATTGTTATGTGAAAACAAGCACATGTTGATCTGTGTAAATAAGTGCAAGAGCCACCGTGTGTGCCTTATCTTTTGTAAGCAAGGTATCACATAGCATTGAGCGAATGAAAAATAATGTGGCAGATGAAAAAGAATGTTAAAGATAGTCTTTTTTTCAACCGATATTGTCCATGGGTTCATTATACATATGCGTCACATATCAAACATTCTTGAGTGATATTTCCTTTAAATAATGGAGTTTTTGTAAAAAAAATATATTGTTGGGAGATATTTTTTACTCCTTTCTTTTCTATTCAAATGACCAAGCTATCAGTAAGTAACTGTAGCAAGATACAACAAATGGAACAACATATGCAATACAAATTCGTCCACATTCGTTCCCTGCCCCTGTCTGTAGCAGGTTTGCTATTGAAGACAGTTTTTATACATGGTGATATTAAATACTGCGATGAGGGTTCATTTTGTCCACTTGGAAATTTTCTCCCCTGTGTTTCTTGTATGTACGTGCTTTTGCTCAAAATACACTGGTGGAAGATGCCCACGGGCAGTCACAATGTCAGGGTCGGGGATATTTATCGTGTATAAATGTCAAAGTAACTGATCCACTGAAAATAAATTAGAACTACAAAAATACAGGTATTTTATTAAACAAGGGCCAGTGGAGAACGGTCTCGTGATCACGTGAGTCTGCTCGTGAACTCGTGATTTTACTGTCGCTATCTGTGTAAATGCCATGCGGCTTTGTCTGTCTCCATTTTAATTATAAATTGTAAGAACACTGGTTATTTGATCATCATTGCATTTAGATGTCCTCCTTCCTTCGTAAATGGATAATTTATATTTTGGATTCTTTCGACAATAATGTTTATCATGTGTACTATAAACCGATTTTGGTTGGTTTAAAGAATCACGCATGTATAGATTAATGTATACGTTATCTTGTCCGTAATTAATTATTTAATCATATAACGTGCTGTAATCTAGTACGTTAACTCATTAAAGGCATATCCCTTATGTGAATTAGTAAATGTTACATGTGATTATTTAAAAGATATCTATGGTTCATTTGGTGCAACGGTTTGGTGTCTTGATGAATCTGCTTAGATAAACATAACATATGCACCCCTCCATTTTTATACGGCAATACTAATATTTATATTTCTAACATTGATCTTGTATATTTCCAGCACTTGATCGGTTCTTTGTACATTGTTATCAAGTGAACTGTGTCACGTGAGATATACCACGTGTCTCGTATAAAGGCGTTAAATTGGGTACTAAAATCAGTATTTTAGGTGTACTGTAAGCGTACCGAATCATTGCTAATTTTTTTTATGTAAATGATGATGGTAATAAAGTATCTTTAATAGAAACGAAGTTGAGTTGTCCGTTTTAATAATGTAGGACGTTTGTCCTGGTCGACGAAATCTAATTGTGGAGTTGAGCAACAGAGTAAGATTGGAAAGACGCTTAAGATGCATACCAACGTACAGCTATGCGCATTTCCTGATACGCATGCGAGTTAATTCTACCGGTTTCCTGAGCTGTTCAAGTAAATCCCATATTCCAACAGATAGCCCAAATTAATAATCCTGTGTGTCAGAGCAACGTAAAAGCTAGCTTGTTAAATATACCTTGTGATGGAGTCGCTTTTACTAGTATTGCTGATATGGGTTATATATGAAATCAAGATCGAGCTGGCAATAACGGAATCTAGAACCTAGGGTAAAATTCATCTATCGACTAGCAAAATAATAAGATATTTCACTCTTTAACTTCAAATGTCTGGTTATAAACTTGACCTACTTATCCGTCCCTCCATTTCGCAGTGATGCGAAAATAATGAAGTACCCCGGTGTAACGAAACTGAGGGTCCGTGTAACAGAAAGTCTGCCCTCCTTATAGTTATAATGGTTAGGGTTAGCCTGACTTTAGTGGGCAAAATTCCCCACAAAATGTGGGCTTTTTAAGGATAATATTTGCATAACTATATTTTGTCTTGCATCCTTTTCTGACACCTTTATCTAGAAGGGCAAAAATGATATAATCGAACAAGTTGAAAGCGTGCAAATATTAACGGGTGTGTTTGTGTGGAATGACTCGTTTGTTAACTGTGATTGTGATAGATGTGAAGCAGTTTGCAACATTGGGCAGACTGCAGTGTCGTAAATCGCTTAAGAAAAGTTCCCAAACCACCTTTTTACTGTACAATAAAGCAGACAACATAGGGAATATTTCATGTTGATTCGAATCCCATCTTACACGCGATCGGCCACTTACGCTCTTTGTTTTAAAGGTACAAGGACAGCAAATCCGACATTTTAGAGATCGATCAAAACATTGACATTGAGTATGTGACGCACATGGTTAGCTGTTCATTTATCAGTCTAGCGGAACCTGCGAATAAAAATGGAAATTGTAAAGAAAACGTGAAAGTTGTTGTTTTCTATTTGCTGTGGATGTTAGGTAAAAGTTATTAAATTTTGCAGCCTTATAATTAGCTCTAATAGGGATTTTGAACCAAGCACATTATTTTTGTTGCTTATTGAACTTAATGTTTTGTATAAGCCATACTAAAAAATTAGCTCACGCAAAATGAAGTCTGTTGGAATAATTATGTTTGAAAATCACAAAATCTTCTAGTCAAGGGGACTACAGAACAGACAAACAGAAACGGGTCGATTTACTGGCAGCATGTCCATTAAACGCTAACGATGAAGAGGAGTGTTCTTTTAGCCATATTTTGCCAACACCTACAGGTACTTGAATATACACAAAATTGAGTGTTTTTAATTATCTTTGTAAAAATTGTTAGATACGTTGAAATCCATTTCATTTTTTTTTTTGTTTTTGTTTTTGTTTTTGTTTACATTGTGTTTATTTATTCATTCCTTTATTTTTTTTATTCATGTATCCATTCGTCAACGATTAAAAACATATTTATTCATTTTCTATTGTACATAATACTACACTCAATATAATCATGTTTTTGTATTTTCAGTCAGTTTGGGTCAAAGTGAAATATCCCCCCCCCCCCCCCATCCACACGACAATGTAGACATGTTTTAATGACTTTCTATGTACAATGGTTTCGCAACTCTTAAGCTGTCATTGTCGAAAGCTTACAGGTCGTCTTTTTTATATCGTAAATGGAGACAATGGGTGTCCTGGTATTGCTTGGCAAATATCCCCAGTTAATGTATATTTGCGATTGCTATAGATGTTAAAAAGAAAAAAGTGTGCCAAATGAAAAATCCTACATTCAGGACTTAAAAATGGGTTTGCCTCACCGAGGTCGACTTAAAGGAACTTATTCATACTTAATGTATTGAATCAATAGTCCTAGATGAGCCTTTCAACTACTCATCCGCTATCGAAAACAGTTCAGTTCAGGCGATTATAAAGTTATGAAACTTGGTAGCTACATAGTATTTCACACACAAAAAAATTAAATCAAAGCATACCCTATTTCGATACCAAAGATCTATTAATTGAGAGATATGTATTTTGATATATACCTGTTCCTCATTTTAAAAATGATCAAAATGGGTAATATATCCGCCCCTTTAAGAAGATCTACCTTTTCTATTGTATGTCACAATGCTCTGTTAAAAGTGCTAGTCTGGCCATTTTCCACGTTTCATCGGGTGTCAGATAATTAGGTAACCCTCGGTCCTGACATAACCACAGCCTCTGAGATCATTACGGTAATTAAGTAAGTAATATGCCAATATCACTTTCTACCTGCCAGCTAGCATGTCGTATACCTCATCAAAATGAATTATGGATTATAACCTCGATTTACCTGCTGTTCGAGCATGATTGACGGAGGAAGAGGACTAGTAGCTATACCCCACCTGTCTAAGCAGGAGTCTTGGCGATTAAGGGTGGAAACCCCGCCCAGTGTTTGAGGAAGGACAGTGCCACCTTCTGAAAACAAACACAGCCCTTTGTTGAAATATTTTTGCTTTGTAAATGGGAGGGGCATTCAATAAGAGGGGGCTCCCGCGTGAAGTCAACGCTTTTTTTAAACCTTTTAGCTCAACGCACGGTTAGTTTACTTTTCACATCTTTTGTCGACTGCAGGGTTAACCGATACTTCAGGGATATTTGGAGGTACATGTAACAGTGTTCCGTCTAAGGTAGGCAGATTTGTCTTTTAGGTTTGATGTTTAGTATTACGATACAATTTTACTTTTCCACTTGTAGTATGTATAAATTCAAATACAGATGGGTTTCAGTGGATTTGTTACGTTTCCACTTTCAGTATTCTTCCATCATTTGGTGTCATATTCCAGCAAAACGAATATTGATTCCCTTTTTTGATACTTTTTTGCTGAAGATTTATACCAACGTTACATTTCCAATACATTTAAACACTGTAGACAAAAGAGTTTACCAGATCAATTTGTTGACTAACGCCGATACAGCCATTTTTAAAACTAATCCTGCTTAAGTATTTTGAAATCTTCTATATTAGGGCACATCATGCTTAATGCAGATGATCAATGGTAAGGTGTTTTTTGGAAATAAACAGATAGAAATATAATGATGAACCTCAACCTCGCTGGACAAGTTGTTAAACATCATGATTCTCTGTTATCACATTTGAACAAAATGACCCAGATTCATTAAAGTTGCAGCAAGAATTATAAGAAAATTTTCGTGAAGTATTGGGGTTGTAGTAGATATGTGAAAGTGATGCGATGTATTAAATATTTTTGATGATTGTGATTAAAGTGTATTCTTTTTTGAGTGAGTGTGTATGTGCAATTACATGTACAAACGAGACAGAGATGTTCCTGGTTTTGCCTTTTCAAAAGATAATAATAATAGCTAATAAATAATGAAATATTATTTGCTGAAATAGGATTAAACTTTCCTGCACTATAACCGCACAATTCAAGCTTGGCCTTGAGTCATTTAGCTGACTACGTTATGGGCGTGTGTTGAAACACCAAGTTAAATCTTTAGTCATTTCAGACGCGCCCCGATCTCTACTCGTGCCCTAAATTCAACGTTTTTAGTGTAGGCTTTCTAACAAAGGCAAACACAATAGAAAGTGAGCGTAAATTTGCACAATGAATAAATGTTTGCTTTCAACACTCGGGCGGCATTCAACGCGGAAAACACTGACGGATAATCGATGAGAAATCCTGTTGTTTAAACGTGCACTCATTTGATAGCCTTCATAAACGGTTAAAACGATCAGTTTAAGGTAAGCGGAGTGAACTCTTTAAGTTTTGAATATGGTATTATCTTGCCGTCCGTTCGATGAAAATGTTACTTAATTTACTGTAACGCTAGGTCGCCAATAATCTCCACAGCACACTAGGCCTGCGCCATGAGGGTGGAGCAGTAAATTCGAAATATTCCGAAAGGTGGCGAAGGATAATTTTTTTTCTTTCTTTTGATGAATGAATGAAAGGTTCTTTCATAAAGATCAGAATAAGAAATTAAGTGCATTTTTTTCTGATTTGCGACCATAATCCACTTTCAAGCTTTAACAGGATTTGTATTAAGTATTTTGAACGGAAATACTGGTAAGAAGCTCGGAGCTCGATATAGCTCGGTATATCATTACACTTTAGAAAGATTTTAAAATGTGACTAAAGTTGAATTAAGGTGTATCTATTGACAACTGTAACATTTAACTTGGAATTTAAACAGCAAAACAATACCATGATGATAGCATAACTTATTTATATCGGGGACATACCTGTTTGTGTTCCACATTAACGGTAAAAGGGCAAATGATTTATGATATACGAATAAATAAAAAGGGAAAAGAAAAAGAAAACACCGAAAAGAAGTAACTCTATTTGATTTCGTGAAACCTACATGCTGCATATCAACACGCCCTGTTAAACTTTCATTTTTCTGTATTCCATGTATGACGAAAGTTCTTTTCTTTTATTGCAGTTCTCGATTGACAAAGAAGATGCCTTCTATACCATACCTTGCGATCCTCCTGTTGACATTCCAGAACGCATGCGTAGACAGTAAGTCCATTTTTGCTTTCATAATAACCCCGCATATTACATTTAGTTCTTCATTAACCCCCTTATCACGGTGGAACTGCTGGATAATTTATAGCACAGTGAGACGCGGTTCAGTGTTGATTAAGGCATACTGGGGCCGGGTGATTAATGAATGTAGCTAATTAAAGACGCCATCTCCGAGCATCAAATTCATTATTTATTATGCTTTGATTCCGTATTTCTTCCTCTATTGATTTCGGTCTTGCTGACGAAGAAATGAGTGTAATACGAAAATAAGAGTTTTTTTTTTTTACTACAAGTAGTTTTATGACTTCACCGATCTAATCTGTATGGTTGACACCGAGAAAATGTGACATAATCGTTATGAGCAGATACATGTATCAAACACAAATTAAATGATGATGCAAAGAGAAATGTGTTAGAGCGCCTGGCAGTTGCATTTGAATAATTCACAACATTAAGTCTCTTTGTGTAATAACGCTCCATTATGATATTTAATCAAACAAATAAAACGAATAATATCAGTCAATCAAGATACATATTTTCTTTGATTTTGTCAGGTCAGAACGCTGGTGGAAGAGAGTTTGTCATCATGTACATGCAGAACTTTGTCGCTGAAGGTTCTCCAGTTTTTCCACTGGAACTTTTTCTGACGACGTTGGAGTCTGACGTCACAGTGAATGTGACGACACCAATATATACCGGCGTCGGTGCTCTGAACTCGAAACACACGGTTTCTAATGGAAATATACTCAAGCTAGAATTTGACGATGATTTGAGACAAACTGGCACTTCCAAGGGTGTAAAGACAATTTTAGTTTCGGCGTCCAGTGATATCATAGCTTATGGAGTGAACAAACTACAATATTCCACAGATGCGTTTTTGGCTCTTCCCTTAACAACGTTGGGGATCGAATATTACGCAATCTGCTACTCGCCGCCCACAACCAACTGCGAGTTTGGTATCTCCGCAACGGTAGATGGCACCACCGTCCTGATCACGTTGCCAGATGCGGTTCCAGGCCAGCCGGCAGCTAACGTCACGTACAATGGCGTCACCACATACAGTGGACAGTATTTCAGTGTCTCCCTTAACAAATACGAGACATTTCAAGCTCAAAGTTTAGGAGACCTTACTGGGGCACACATCCTCTCCAACGAACCGATAGCAGTTTTCAGTGGAAATGTGCGCACGTCAATCAGACCGCCAAATAACGTGGAAGCATCACGTGATCACCTCGTGGAACAGGTGCCCCCAGTGTTGTCTTGGGGCCGAGAGTTTGTAACGGTGCCAATTCCAGGCAGATCCGTTGGGGACGTTTTTCGCATCCTAGCAAGCAGAAACAACACACTGATTACTGTCGATGCTTTAGGAGGCGGTCAGGTCATAAGCCTGAACGCGGGAAAATATTACGAATTTGACCTCAACGTGTATAACCACATTACATCCAACGCCCCTATTCTTGTGGTCCAGTTTGTGAAGAGCCAGCAAACACGAGCCGCCACCGAGCCGGCCGATCCATCGATGATAATCATTCCTCCTATCGAACAATTCCAGTCTGATTATAACTTTCTAACTCCGGTATCGACGCAGGCTAACACACAAAACTACGTTCTCCTCTCGATCCAAGCTTCCCAGGTCGCTGGTCTGCGATTAGACGGTCAGCCGTTAGCGGGTGTAACGTGGAACCCCATTCCTGGTACTAGTTACGTAGGCACGTCATTTAATGTGACGACGGCGGCGCACACTTTGACACATGTGAACGGCGTGACCTTCATGGGGTTACTGTACGGGACAGCAGATAGAGAGTCGTACGGGTTACCCATGGGGATGAGGCTGACGGATATTTCGGTAGGTTACTTATTAGGTTTGGTTACTTATTCAACAAGAAAATGGGCAAAGTCAGACAATCAGACAGGCAGACTAACAGAAAAACATGTTTGTGGAAGAGTTCCCAAGTGAAAAGAGCCCCAACAAGAAATCGGCTTTTGAGGGGCGCTGAATCTAGTGTATAGAGTCTACTTTCCAGGTTCGATTTCAAAAAGCGAACTTGGCAATTAGAAACTATTGTCATTTTTCGAAGGAAATAATAAAAGAGGTTGCAATGAAAACCCTTTGGCAAAAACTACCTTATGAACCGCTCTAAATGGGATATTAATATCACGTATTTGACAGAAGAATCAGGTCAAATGTGGGCTCAGTTGTTCGACCTCCTTCCCTCCCACTCATACGTGTACGTTTTAGTCAAGGTTGAAAAGGCTGAGTGATGCGACAGGTTTGAACAACATGTGTACCTTTCAATACCCTGCCTTCTTCACCGAATAAATATAAGTAGTTTAAGTAAGATTGTGTTATAAATTCATTGTCCTAATTCACATGAGAGCTTTTATTCAACAGATTTAGCTTGCACTTGTTTGCAGTTCGTTGTTTACATATTCGCCTGTGGCCTGCTGAACTTGTTATGAGCCCTTGTCCAAGACTCTGTGTAAACCAGTAAATGAGAAGGCTAATATATATAGATGAATATATGATGATTATGAATTACTGACCGTAAAAATACAACCCTCAGGTAGAGCATATTCAAAGTTCGCCGTGCATTCTTGCTTCACATGCTCGACGCAAGTGGTTTTTGCAGTCGGGTCACTAAGTCTTATTTGTGAGTGTATGAGACTGTGAGAGTGATAACAGATCATGCATCTGTACAGATTTACATCTGTCATTTGCAATTGACACAGAACCACCGCTGTGATTACAATTTTTCATCAAATTTTCAGACAACTACCACTTCAACTACCACCATAGCCACGACCACTACCTGTTTCTGCCCAACAGTAGTGTGCACCACGCCCACAACTACTACGACCACGCCCACTACGACCACGACCACTACTACGACCACGACCACTACTACAACCACGCCTACAACTACTTCGACCACACCTACTACAACGACCACGCCTACAACTACTACGACTACACCGATGCCTACAGCACCACCTATAGGTTTGTATATAACGGTTTGTATGCGGATAATTTCTAATGATATTTAGTTACTGATTTAGATTTCCACGTGTTTTGGTGTGATTTAACCTTGGATCAAGTCCACTACCTGCTGTTCTATTCATTTGTAACAAACAGTTTCAAATGATAACAGTCATTATTGTTACACACTCTTTTTTTCAGCGGATACCACCGGCAAAGAGTTCCTCATCATGTACATGGACAATGTTGTTGAGAATCCCTCGGGTTTTCCCCTCGAACTTTACGTTACCACGAGTAAACCAAACGTCTCCGTCAACGTCATAGCTCCTGGCTACCCGTTAGTAGTGTCCCTCACTGACAGCTTGACAGCAGGCACCGTGAAACAATTCAACATCCCCAAAGAGCTCCGCCAGGTGGGGACGGGATTGGAAAGAAAGGCCATTTTGGTGGAAGCCACAGATGATGTTGTCGTGTATGGAGTTAATAAAGAATTGTTTTCTAATGACGCTTTCTTGGCGTACCCGACTGATACATTAGGCACGGAGTACTTCACAGTATCATACGCCCCACCAACGACGAATTGCGAGTTTGGAATCGTTGGTGTTGTCGATGGGACTACCCTGGAAATAACATTTCCCAGTCCCAGCGGAACACCAGTGCAAGTGTCATACGGCGGAGTAAACTATGGCAACGGAGACAAATTAACGGTGCCGTCCTTTAATCGCAGTCATACTCTTCAAATCCGCTCACAGGGTGATCTCACGGGGACCTTCATCAAAGCCACCTACCCAGTTGCAGTGTTTAGCGGAAACGTCCGCACCGCTGTTGGCGAAAGTGAGTCACGTGATCATCTCGTGGAACAGATTCCACCAATCAGATCATGGGGCACAGAATTTGTGACGGTTCCGATACCGAGGCGAACGGTCGGGGATCTATTTCGCATAATCGCTAGTGTGAATAATACAGTTGTTACCATAAGCGGAATGCCAGATATGACAATTGACAGAGGAGAATTTGTTCAGGTGAATATTTCTTCCACGATGTATGCCTCCATGCGCGCCACTCGGCCCATTCTGGTGATGCAGATAGTATACAGCCAATTTGATCCTGACGAACCAGCCGACCCCGCTTTGATTACAGTGCCACCTACCGACCAGTTTGCACAAGAATACAGGTAAATATTCAAGGACTAAAATATAATATAGTTTTTCGTGAGTGAAGCACGTGGTCATAGACATTTTTGTACACGCGGCCCTAAAATGGCTGTTAAAAGCATTAAGCAAGAAAAAAGGCCTATTTAACTCATTATGTATATTTCTAAAAAAAAAAAAGTCCAAACTTAGGCCTGAATATATTTCCTTTTCTTTCAGTTTTCTGACTCCAGTCTACAGCGGCGGAGTGACCGGCGGCGACTACACGCACCTGTTTCTACTGGCCATCAGAGAGGAGGACCGTAATGGACTTTGGCTGGACGGTCAGCCGCTGAACTCTACCCACACTGTCAACTGGAATCGCATCTCCGGGACAAATTTCGTTGGCACGTGGGTAAACGTCAGCGGTGGGGCTCACACAGTGTACCATCCAAACGCGACTTTCATGGGTTTGTTATATGGCACTGCGGACAGAGAAACGTACGGCTTTCCCGTGGGCATGCGACTGGTTGATATTGCCATNCTATTTTGCATCATTATTTTCTGTTTTTTGTCTGTACATTTGACAGCTTTGCTGCCTTGTTTATTCATGTATCCATTCGTCAACGATTAAAAACATATTTATTCATTTTCTATTGTACATAATACTACACTCAATATAATCATGTTTTTGTATTTTCCGTCAGTTTGCGTCAAAGTGAAATATCCCCCCCTATCCCCACGACAATGCAGACATGTTTTAATGACTTTCTATGTACAATGGTTTCGCAACTCTTAAGCTGTCATTGTCGAAAGCTTACAGGTCGTCTTTTTTATATCGTAAATGGAGACAATGGGTGTCCTGGTATTGCTTGGCAAATATCCCCAGTTAATGTATATTTGCGATTGCTATAGATGTTAAAAAGAAAAAAGTGTGCCAAATGAAAAATCCTACATTCAGGACTTAAAAATGGGGTTGCCTCACCGAGGTCGACTTAAAGGAACTAATTCATACTTAATGTATTGAATCAATAGTCCTAGATGAGCCTTTCTACTACTCATCCCGCTATCGAAAACAGTTCAGTTCAGGCGATTATAAAGTTATAAAACTTGGTAGCTACATAGTATTTCACACACAAAAAATTAAATCAAAGCATACCCTATTTCGATACCAAAGATCTATTAATTGAAAGATATGTATTTTGATATATACCTGTTCCTCATTTTAAAAATGATCAAAATGGGTAATATATCCGCCCCTTTAAGAAGATCTATTTTTCCTATTGTATGTCACAATGCTCTGTTAAAAGTGCTAGTCTGGCCATTTTCCACGTTTCATCGGGTGTCAGATAATTAGGTAACCCTCGGTCCTGACATAACCACAGCCTCTGAGATCATTACGGTAATTAAGTAAGTAATATGCCAATATCACTTTCTACCTGCCAGCTAGCATGTCGTATACCTCATCAAAATGAATTATGGATTATAACCTCGATTTACCTGCTGTTCGAGCATGATTGACGGAAGAAGAGGACTAAAAGT